CAGCAGCAAGTGCAGCAGCAGCAGCAAGTGCAGCAGCAGCAGCAACTGCAGCAGAAACTGCAGCAGCAGCAACTGCTGCAGCAGCAGTAACTGCAGCTCCCTTTGATGCTGTTAATCCTGCATAATGCACATGCATATGCAGTACTAATCACATTCCTGCATTTCCCATAAATATGCTAAATTCCTTTTGATATGCAAATTCCTTTGTCAATGTGCCCAGCTTATATATATGCTCCAAGCTCGTGTGCTGTTTCATTCAGACTCTGTCGCCTCGACGGACCTGGTTTTCACCTGAGGACGGCTGCTTGCGTTGTGGCCGAAACGTCGTGAGAATTGTTTTATTATGTTTTATTTTTATTATTTTATTACTTCCCTTCTACGTGACTTTACCGAAAGAACCAAGAAGATGAATCCCTGCAGTCACGAAAGCTTTAAATCGAAATGGTGGAGTAGTGTTAACACGCGCTGGGGAAAACGGATCGTAGAGAGAGTGCGTCGTGATTGGTTCACTAAGGAACGATGCTCACGTCGACGTCCGAATCAGCTCCGTCTCTCGTGAGCAGGGGCTATAAAAGGGGATGCACACAGGCGTAAGGGCAGTGTGTAACCAGCGAAGAATGAAGACGGGGATGAAGACCTAGGGCCCTGCGGTACCTAGTCCCGCTGTCCTAACGGGACCGGGGCTCTGTGTAACCCAGAGGCGAGTGTAGTGTGTGTAGCCATAGGCATAAGGTCTACACGAGCCGAATGCAGTGTGTGTAGCCAGGGACATAGGGTCTACACGAGTCGAGTGTATTGTGTAGCCAGAGGCATAGGGTCTACACGAGTGAAGGGTATCGTGTGTAGCTAGAGGCCTAGAGTTTACAGGAGAGTAGTGGAGTGTGAAGTCGGAAGAAAGGAGACCACACGTTGTATTTTGACACGTAAAGATTTAATAAAAAGTGTGTTCCCGTCAAGAAGTTCCTGCCGTCAATTCCCATACTTCACATGTATAGACTTGCACACACATGTGGACTAACACACACACACATATAGACCGACATACACATCGACGTACACGCACACAGATCGACTGACACACACACATGGACTAACACACACATAAACACTTTGACATTGTCCGTTCGAAAAAGACACCCTCATGGAGTTAAAGACACGCATGGCTCTACACGCACACACATATGGACTCAAAGACACACACATGGACTCACACACACACATCGACGGGCACAGCAATCCCTGATGATGGCACAGCTATCAGTATCGCAGTACTACGTATGAGTAAATAGCGTGACGTGAGCGATGGAAACAATAGAAATGCATTTAAGAAATAAGCAGAAATCACAGACTGGCAGTAGACCGTGGCAGCGTTATAAAAGCGCAGCAAAAAAAGGGGAAATTGAGCAACCCAAAAATCCAAAAAGAGTTTTGTGTACACAAACATTATTATTGTAACATGTCAACTTGTTTCATAATGGTAAACAATGAACCTGAGTTGTTATCTTCACAAAAACATAATTATTGTAACATCTGTGAACTTGTTTCATAATGTTGAACAATGAAGCTGAGTTTTTATCTGCACACAAACATTATTATTGTAATGTTTGTCAACTAATGTGTTTAACAATAGTAAAAAATGGACTTGAGTTGTTAGCGTAAGAAGCAAGGAACTTTGTACTTACCATAGGCGTGCTGAGGCCTTGTGCCATGAGTAGTCCCCGTCCTGGCCTACATTGGCGAGGCGGCGGAGTTGGCACGTAGCCAGGCTAGGGGCTGGGCCGCTACCCCCCCCTCCCAAGCATCCCCTGCCCGTGCAAGAATAATGCTATGTAAGCAGTAAAAATGTATTATCTACGGAGTCTGTAGTATAAACTGGATGCATCGTGTTGGGGGGGGGGGGGCGAAGAGGACATGACACTGTGAATAAATATCCGCAGCGTGAAGTTTGTATGTGTTGGCTGTAAAACGCGTAAAAGAAAATGTCCCCCGTGAACTGGAGCGAACGCGCATGACTTGGCAGGGTCCGCCCCCCCCCCCCCCACACAATTGGCGTCACTTGGTACGGTCGATGTCGTGCAATAAGTAAATAATGAATAATAGAAACGGCACAAATGTGTTAATTAAACTACTTTAAAGTTTACGGATGGAAAAACGGAATAGCCTATTCCCACCACGGGGCTTAGGGCGTGCCGCCTGCCAAATTATTTTGGTCTTAAACCCCACCGTCCGAGAGCCAAATCCCCCGCAAGCGCGAGCGCACGGAGACTTTTATATATAAGAAGAAGAAAGAAAGAAAAGAAAAATATATGCGCGCGCGTCATACACACAACGATTTATATCACCCACACACACCGACTTATTCACCCACACCGCAGTGCGCCAATTGCTGTTCCACCACTCTTCACACACACACGCACAGCGCATCAACCATCAATCTGTACGAAGGTTTTATTCCCGGCGTGAAGTGAACCCGTTTATGGCCCCCAGCGAACAGCCTCCGGGTAGCGCCAGGCCTCTTACTTACCACCCTTGGTGATGTGCGACTATCTCGGGCGAGGTCTAACGAGCGAACTGGGCTGAATCGACCAACTGAACGATCACTCACCTCGCAGACAAACTCACGGCGTCGCACGGACACGGTGGGAGTTGGGGAGGACGCTGGACAGCGTAGACTCTGCCTGGCCGACGGTTCGCAGCTACACGCGGACGCTGAGAGCGGCTGGGATTCTTGACGGTCGCACAACTCTGATCTAAATTCGCTCTCTCCCTCCCCTAGAATCCTCAAAGCCCGTTAATCTGCGGGTGATATGTCATCCTGCGCGGCCAAGAGCGCTTTACCTGCCGTTAGGGGGGGGGGGAAGCATCACGTCATCCCTCCCTCTTTCCATTCTCCCCATATCTGCGTTCCTCATCTCTGATTCACTGGTAATTTCCAGTCTCTCTCTTAAATCGCTCCTGCTAGGGCACCCAGGGATTTTTCCCCCACCCCACTGTTTGCACTGTCCGTAGAGGGTTTGCCTTCGAGGCCTGACCTCCCGTGTTGTGGATGCTTCATCGCGACCAGCCTGTAAAGCTCTATGCGCCCCTACGACTTTTTAAGTTGATTTTAGGGGGGCCGCCATGGAATCCGGCCTGGGGGGGGGGGGGGGGGGGGGGTCGGCCAATCTCCTGACAACAGGAAACCGGGGGACATCCCTGCTAGGGGCTCTTTGGATGAAAACCCGTGGTGCCAGGCATCCCCCCCATCGAGACCCTACGTGGGTGCGTGCGTGTGTTTAGTGGGGGTGTGCGTGCGTTCGTGTGGAGGGGTGCGAGAGGATGGTGTCGCCGGCGGAGTTGCTCCGTTGCTGTGGCACCAGTGCATAGTGTAGCAGTGTTATGTATAGTATGGTGTATATTAGTGTAATATATAGTAGTGGTGTGTAGTAGTGTAGCAGTGTATTGTGTAGTGTATAGTCGTGAAGTGTGTATAATGTAGTGTATAGTAGTTAGTATGTATAACTTCTTTCGCACCGTACGTAACCAACTGCGCTAATTGGTGGTGCGGGGTGGACAAACTAAACACAACTACAAGCAGTTCTAATTGAAATTAATTTTACATTTCTAAGCAACAGCCAGACCACGGTCTGTGCATTACTATAGCGTACAAGTTATTTGGCGATGCTGCTACATTAGCGGCGATGCACACGGTCCAGTGATGCTATGAATAATAGCCATTGCCCTAGAACGTCCGGCTTACATTGTTATCATGTATAACTTCTAAGGCCACAAATGGCCGCAGATGAATGAGTCTGGGTCTTTTAAAATCCTTTATATTAAGTTTGCTTGCTTGCTTGCGCGCTTACGACCGTGCAAATCTTTCGGTCGTTTTTTATTTACATCCTTTATATTAAGTTCGCTTGCTTGCTTGCGCGCTTACGACCGTTTAAATCTTTCGGTCGTTTTTTAACCCACTTCCCGTGATCCAATCGAGCTGACATTTTCCAGACTCGTTGTGCGTGACAATTAATTTTCGTGAAAACATTTTTGCAAAATTTTACACTTTTTAGGAAAAAAAAAATTATATTTAATTACCAATTGCTTAATGCTGCCAGGCAATCATCTGACCCATAGGTGGCAGCCATCTCAAGCCAGAGGACGAGAGGACTCTATCCGCCACGCATATAAAGGATTTATAGTGAAAAACTTTGTTTTTACGGGTTAATTTTTTTTGTTTTTGTTCAAAGTCTACAGCGACTTAAGTAATCTGAAAGGGGTCAGCCAAGACGACAGGGACTCCACTACTTACGAATGAGTTGGGTTCTAGAGGTCTGTTCGGGAGTCAATTTGCTCGCAAGTCCAACTTTACTCCCGTCGATTCCGAACGCGTTGTATGGCGTGTTCACTAAAACATGGGGCATGGCTTTAAAATTTGGATAATCTTCTGGAGATGCCGTCGGTTCTTTATGCTCTGCAGATGTAGATGCCACTGGTTCTTCACGTTACGCAGATATAGATGCCACTGGTTCTTCACGTTCTGCAGATGTAGATGCCACTGGTTCTTCATATTCTGAAGATGTAGATGCCACTGGTTCTTCACGTTACGCAGATATAGATGCCACTGGTTCTTCACATTCTGCAGATGTAGATGCCACTGGTTCTTCATATTCTGCAGATATAGATGCCACTGGTTCTTCACGTTACGCAGAAATAGATGCCACTGGTTCTTCACATTCTGCAGATATAGATGCCAGTGGTTCTTCACGTTCTGCAGATGTAGATGCTACTGGTTCTTCACATTCTGCAGATATAGATGCCACTGGTTCTTCACATTCTGCAGATGTGGGTTCCACCACCGCCATCTATTACGTGGCGGTTTAACTTACGACTCTTGGTCCGAACAGCTGCAACTGGACATAAGGACAGGTTTGTTCGTATCTCTGAAAGTTGGTTCGTCGAACGTTCGTAAGTAGAGGAGTTGAACATATTGTGGAAAAAAAGTATTCTCTGAGGCAAGCATAAAAAAAACTAATTTTTTTTTATTCATAACAAAAACGAACCAAACTGTCACACGTATGCACCTGCGCCTCATACACACAGACACGTCACAAACACACGAGCACCCGCGTGACAACAAAGACACATACACGCACCTGCGTCTCACACACAGACGCGTCTCACACACGAGCACCTGCGTCACACACGCGCGCACCTGTGTCACACACGCGCGCACCTGCGTCACACACGCGCGCACCTGCGTCACACACACACAGACGCGTCTCAGACATGCGTCTCACACACGTGTCTCACACACGCGCACCCGCGTCACACACACGAGCACCCGCGTCTCACACACACGCAAGCACATGCGCACGCATGGCGTTATTGCAACGGTTATGCAACTTGGCAGCAGCCTCGCGTTGAGCCACTGAATGAACGTTGAGTGAGTGAAGCTCCTCGTTCGTACCGGAGTAGTACGCAAGGGGGTTGGTCTGCAATGGGAACGTTAAAGACAAAAAAACGATGCGAAACGTAAAAGTCGCCAGAAAACGAACGCCGCGGCAGATCGTTGCACCGTGGCGTACAATATATCCCGGAATTTGGGAGGGGGGGGGGGTGGCGGGGATGACTTGAGGGTGAGAACAGAACTGTGCTCCGAAATAATGGTTTCGTTTTTGGTGACAGATGGCGCCGATATCAATGTCGTATCGGTAACCGCTGCCACCACCACCACCACCCTCCAACACGTGGCCAATCGGCGAGGGGGTTTGTCACGTAACACAGCGCGTGGCCAATTCGTTACTCGTTCAGCACCAACCGGTCGATCGTTTACAACCCGACTAGCCGGTGACGTTCCTAACTCCCCCCCAACAAAATAAACCAACCTCTGTCGAGGATAATATCGGTCGTGAAAAGCGTGCCGACTGCACATTAAACATGACTCTTTGGCTCTTGAGAAAACTTCTCAGCCCCCCAAAGTCCTCCACCTCCTCCTCATCTTCCTCTTCGTGTCCGTCAGTCCAAGAAGATGTTTGTGCGACACACCGGGCATATGGCGCTTTGCTGTGAGAGAGAAGGAGAGAGAGAATGAATGTAGCAGTGTGAGACAAGGGGAGAGTGCTGGACGAGGTGGGAGGAGTAGGGAACTCATGACAGAGTTTTAAGCCCACTCTCTGCCTAGGGACAATATACATTAGATCTTCTATTATCTGGCTGCTTCCAACATTATCTGGCGGTTCCTGGGACCAATCCAGAGAAACCGGCCAAGCCACTCCAAAGGCTGTAACAGAGTTTGGCTATCGGCACCATCACCATGTGTACGTGATAAAAACAAAGTAGCTACGCTTCATTTCAGTGTTCAAATATTATATTTGTACGGTACATCATAGACATCATGCAACATAGACAATGACAATTCTACACGTATATATACATATACATTGTTTTTTATTACTTCATAACTAGAGTTAGGGAGGCATCCATATGGGTGGCTATCCTGTAGTGTCCCATTGAGCCATCTGGTCTCTTTTAGATTAAAACATCCAAGAATGGTAACTTGCCAGCCTTTTCCACCTCCATGGTGAATTTGATTAATTCCCTCATCAAAACTCTACACCATAGAGCTCAATGTATTTCCGACCATCATCACCTCGCCAGTGAACTGGAACACGTAATTGATTTCTCCAAGACGAAGGTACTTTGCAAACCCACTGGCTTATCAACAAAGATTCGTTCACGAAGCCATCCATATTTATAGGCAGGGACACAATTTCAACCGACAAGATGGGTACAAACTGAGCAATCAGTGGAAGGACGTTATTAACCAGTTTAAGTCATAACTGGCTGTGATGTTTCCATCCTGCCTTTGGATGTTAGTTGTTATTTGCGGCTCTCTGATTCTACATAATCAGGTTACATTTCCCAGCCACCTCGTGTGCCGACGTGGCTGCGGCTCTGCGATCTTACATTAACATGCTAATTTATCACATTAACATAAATATCCCCGCCCACTTAGTTTCTGACCCTTGGGCTACACCCATTTGAAACCTTTAAAACAGCCTGCCTCGGCAGCTTTCCTCTCTTTATTCAGCCTGATGACGACCGCTTGCGTTGCGATCGAAACGTCGTAGTTTTTTAGATTATTTTTGTTATTTTCATTGAACCCATCTACGTGACTTTACCGAAAGACCCAAATAATAGTTGTAATTACTGGCAAAACATCATACTCAGATTGTAAATGCTGTGGATTTGCTCTCCAATACACAACACGGTGTGCTGTACTCTGAATGTATTGGCATATTCTGTTTACGTGACAAAACTTGTTAAATGGACTGTCGGGTGGTGGCGGTTTTAACGACACATTTATATTTACGCGATCTAACACCAAAACAAACTTCTATTATAAAAGGGAAGCGGTTTGCGGAAAGCGAGCGCAAGAGAGCATGCCACCGAACCTCAAAACCGTTACGTGCGCACATTCTGTCGGTCACAGTAACACACGTCGTCACCATCACCATCAGTATTATTATTTACTTGCAACGCTGACAATGATGCACGCCATTCAAATATAGCAACGGCCCGATTTAAAAGAAAGAAAATAATAAGGCAAGAGGATATTTGCTTTAACACGTAGGCCCTCGCGACCATACGCCGATGGTGATTAACTGTGAGCGGACAACAACAGGTCGTGTGATTTCGTGCATCCACAAAACGGAAGGGTGTCAAAGGCACGGAGTGCATGCATAATATCCGCTGTTTACCATATGATCAACCGAACCGGTAATTGGTATCCATTGTAATTTATATGCATAAATTAACCTCCCCCCCCCCCTCGGGCCATCCCATCTGATTGGCTCACCACCCACCACCCACACAACCACCACCACCCACACCACCACCACCACCCACACTACCACCACCACCACCCACCACCACCATCACCACCACCATCACCACCACCACCACCACCCACACCACTACCACCCACACCACCACCACCACCCACACCACCACCACCACCACCACCCACCACCACCATCACCACCACCCACCACCACCACCCACCACCATCATCACCACCACCACCACCACCACCATCATCACCACCACCACCATCACCACCACCCACCCACCCACCACCACCACGCTCACCTGTAGCCACCTGTCGATGCAGGCAGCGTGGAAGGCGTGCAAGCAGGGCAAGGTCCGCATCACCTCCCCCTCCTCGTATGCCTCCGTGCAGATGCTGCACCTGCAGAGTGGTGGGGGGGGGGGATGGTGGTGAAACTAATTTTGTATTTTTCCCAGGTAAGGCCCACTGAGCTATAACACAAAAGGTGTCGATACAACTTCAGTGAATTACTTCAATGAGCCGCTTACTTTATGGGACAGGTTTTTTCTTCTTCCTCCTTATTTCAAGCGATAATTTTAGGTGTCTCATCATTTAAAACTAAAAACCAGGTGTAAGGGCCCCACTAAGCCATGTAGTAGCTCTTTATCAGAAGCGACCCTAATCATCACAAACGATAGCTCAATGAAGTGGGATTAGCATCATCACCATCAGGTGGAAAATAATAGCAGCAGCCCGAATGCTCTAAACCACGTGGAGGGGAAAAACTGGAGGACCTAACACTTCCTATTTCTTCTGGATTTGAAGCTTTCGTGACTGCAAGGATTCATATTCTTAGGTTTTGGTAAAGTCATGTAGGTAAAAAATTAAAAGACTTTACCGAATAAACCTAAGAATATACTTCCCATTTCTACCAGGCTTGCATAGGTCCATTTGCCCTTTCTCCCACCCCCACCCCCCCCCCCCCCCCAAGGTCGGAGCAGATTTCCACACAACTCTCTCTAAATTTTACCAGACTTGTATGGGTCTTTCTCTCCCCCGGGCCGCCACAAGGTGGATTTCCACACAGCTCTCTCATTGACATGCTCATTTCTCTGCTCCAGCACCCCCACCTCTCTCTGCCCCACCCCTCCCCTTCTCTCTCTAGTTAAGGCCTCGACACAGAGGCGTTGTGTCTCTGTGTGTCTATGTGTGTGTCTCTGTGTGTCTATGTGTGTCTCTCTCTCTTGTGTGTCTCTCGCTCTGCTTGTGTGTCTGTCTGTGTCTCCGTGTCTGTGTTTTGTCTCTCTCTCAAATGTAACAATCTTTGGAAGACTGTAATCAACCAGGTAGGGTGTTGACTGTTGTGTTAGCCAACTCTGTGTTGTATTGCATTGTATTTCTAATTTTACTGGTTTGTTTTATACCTGATGACGATTGCTTTTGTTGCAATCGAAACGTCGTATTCCATTATTTAATTTCTTTTATTTTCTTTCTACGTGACTTTACCAAAAGAACCAAAGAGTTATTTCACACAGCGTACCTACCCAACCGTGCTAATCGGAGTTGCGAAGGTGTGAATGTTGGACGATGATGACGGTAAAACGTACTGGGAGTTTGGCTTGCGCAGGTCGGCCGAGAAGACCTGGGTGGGCAGCCGGTGTATGTCTGCGGCGCTGAGGCGATGCGCTCGGACGCCAAGCTGCTCATCCAGCCGCAGCAGCTCCTGAACAGCGTCGTCATCGTCACCATCGTCATCACAATCCCTGAACTCTTGTGTACAGGACTTACTATCATAACCGTTCCCATCATCGTCATCACCATCGTCACCATCATCATCATCACCATCTTCACCATCATCGTCACCATTATCACCATCATCACGATCGTCACCATCCACGAGCTCACGAGTACTGGACTCGCATCGTCACCATCGTCACCATCACTCGTTCGTCCAGAAGGCTTACACAGCTGATGAAAAGATCATGCCGCTTGACTGATTCGTAGTGAGACCTCTGCTGACAAACTGGAGCTGGTCATGAGCACACTGCCCAGGTATGGAAAACTCTCCACTCTCTCTACAACTGCCCCATCACTAATTGGGAGTTGTGGGGGTTGAGTGTCTGATTGCACAAAATACCCAGGCAGATGCTTAGTTTTGGTGGGGCTGATGGTAAGGCCCCACCTGTTAGTGGCAAGCTCCAGGTTCAGCAGCAACGCCTCCAACTCCTCCTCTGAGTGAGCAGCCATCACCAGATCATCAGCATACATAATATGGTTGATCAATAGGGCGCCATCCCTTGACGCACCTGGGCATCGATCAGCCTCGCAATGTGGGAGCGAGAGTGCAACCCTGAGATGCCACTTTAGCTAGCACCTGTGCCACGTCAGCCTTGCCTGCATCCCTCCACTGATGTTCATCTTCGGTGGATGCATAAGTAACCACGACCACCACTCCTCGCCTCTGGATGGGAAGGCGAGCCCACAGTAGCCTGGGGCTTACAGCTTCCCACACTTCACCGCCATGCTCCCACACCCCCTTCATTTCTTGTTGTTTGGCAGTCTCCTGTCCATAGTAGAGGACAGTCCACCCCTCATGGTGGCAGGAGTCAGAGCCAGTCCACCAGACCTCCTGAATACCGCAGAGATCCAGGCGGTAATGGTCCAGCTCCCGACAGAGGATTGGCAGCCTCTCGTCCGCAGTGAGCGTTCAAACATTCCACGTGGCCACCCGCAATGGCTTTTTGCTGTTTCTGGAGGGACTCCGAGAGTAAGGATTCAGTCTCTAGCCTCAACAGACTGTTGGGGCAAGTGCTGTTAGCGAGCACCTATGAAGGCCGGCACGGCACACGAGGGGGTGGGTGACCAACACCACGCCCGGCCGCCTTTGTCTTCCTAGGGGTGATGCTCACACATTGCACCAGATACTCATTTGAGGCCGAGTCAACCTAGGGGAGGCCCTGGACCGGTTCAGATAATCGTCACTGGTGCTGGCCGTGCGCAAGAATCGAACCCGGGTCGCCAGGTTCATAGCGCAGCGTGCTAACCGCTACACTACCGCTCCCCGCACATATCAACAACAACCGCCCTTCGCCACTAAGTGGCGGTGACGTCACCACGACGCTTGTGCCAAGCCATGTGCACGTTAAGGCCACGTGAAGCGTTGAATGCCTGCTGGCAGGAGGTCACGGGACAGACTCAGGTGCCATGGGTCGACCGACTGAGATAACTGGCCGATGTACCACCCGTGCCCCCTACTGTGCCAACACACACGCGTGCACGGTCTTCACCTCGTAGTCATCGCCGTTGTTGCTGGGGCTCTGCTGCTGCGTGTGCATCGAGGTCATGGCGATGGCGCGCAGAAAATTGGGGGGGATGCCGCAGCACGTCCACCCTGAAGAGGGCATGGGGGGGTGGGGGACAACGCCTCCGGTGAGCACGGTCAGTTACGCACGGCGTGTGGGAAGTTGATGGTGCGTGCGTGCAACACGGAGACACGAAGGAAGGATGCGGAGACACGACGGGAGAACAGAGACACATGGGGCACACTGTAGGTCAGCAGAGACAGCAGACACCTGCGGGAGACGCACGGGGGCACCATGGGGACACCCCGGGGAGGGAGAACTCACCCGGGTACGTGTCCCTGTGCTGGTGCTGCGACGGGTTCCTCCTCCTGCGCTGGCTGCGCGGCATCTGGGGAGGGCGGCGGAGGGGAGACGTTGAGATTGGGGTGAGCGCGGTGGCCAGGCAGATGTTGACTACCTCACCTGGTATGGAGGAGGTCGTGGGTTCGATCAGTCTGGATTTGCCCACAAACATCTAACAACTACTCGCAAGATTAATTGCACTGTAAACCCAAAAGCCACTTTACAACCAAGACTGCAATGGAAGCACTATACTCCTATGTGCATCACTTTAAATGTGTTCTGTAATTTTTTTTGATGTGACATGTTTTAGTTTGGTCTACAATCTTTTCAATCAAAATGTAATCCCGTGGCACCGCAATCGCACCTCCGATCAGCACGGCCGGCTACGTACGGTGCGAAAGAAGTTCAACACGCACACACAGAGACCCAGACACCCAGACCCACAGAGATCCACAGATTAGCACGATTGTCTAAGTACGGTGCAAAAGAAGTTCAACGGACGTACACTACAATACTATACACTCCGTAATACACTACACGACTATACACTACACTGCTATACACTACACTACACTAGACAGTGCACTATTATACACTCCACTAAACCACTATACAAAATTGAAAACTAATTTCTTTAGAACTGCTTCCTGTTGTTGTGTTTAGTTTGTTGTCCTTCCTCCCGGCACCTTCAATTAGATTAGCACGGCCGGCTACGCACGGTGCGAAAGAAGTTGAACACGCACATGCAGTCAATCACAGATCATCCGGCACTGCGCGATTATTCCGGCTGCTTCCCGGGCCGATCCGGCGTAACCGGCAAAACCCCTCTGAAGGCTGTGCGATCGCCAAACACATCATGGTTGTTGAAACAAGAGCAGAGGCGCGCTACGTACATCACCCCATGATGCAGAGTCTTCGAGATTACCAACACCTACAAACATGCCATGCAAGAATGCGGAAACATAAGCTATTCTAAATAATAATGATTTAATTTAGACTTAAAACTTTCGTGCCTGCAGGAATTCATATTCTATGGTTTTCTCAGTAAAGTCACGTAGATAAAAAAAATCAATAACAATAAAGTAATAAAAATAAAGTAAATAAAAAATAATAAAAATATCACGATGTTTCGATCGCAACACACAAGCTTGTGTTGCGATCTACGTGACTTTAACGGAAGAACCATAGAACAATGATTGAGCCATTATCTGGCGTTTTTGAAAATTCAGTGTCCCCTTCTTCCCTGGATAATTATCGATGATCGACTCCTGTCCACGGTGACCCTCACCTCTTCTTGGTGATTCGACGAGCGAGTCGGGGGGCGGTGCCAAAACTCTTCCGTGTCACCGCCACCACCGCCACCACCGCCACCACCGCCACCACCGCCACCGCCGTGACCTTCAGAGCCCGCCAGCCTCTCCGCTTCCTCCTCGTCAAACTGGATCTACAGAAGGCGGCGGCGGTTACTTGCTGGACGCCCGAGGGAGTACAGACAACTCCCCCTCTTTCTTGCGTACGACGAGCCTGGCGAGCGAGCGAGCATATCTACGGCTTCGGGAGCGTGGCGTCGTGGTAAACGTCTCTGAACGACGTTGACCAGCGGGCTTCGGTGGCGTTACTCTGCGGGCAACGGTTTGTGGCCAGGAGATGTTGACTACCTCGCCTGACATGCAGGAAGTCGTTTGTTTGAGCCAGACCCTGACACGTGTGTGTGCGTGCATACTTGTGTGTATACGTACGTATGTGTGTATACGTGCGTGTGCGTGCATACGTGTACGTGCATACGTGCGTGTGCGTGCATGCATGCATGCGTGTGCGTACGGCTACCCCAACGCTGACCTCCGCTGCGCTCACCTGCAGCGCCCGAGCCAGCGCCTCGTCCTCGTCCATCTGCACCTGCTGCTGCGCAAAGACGGCGTCCCCCCCGACCTCATCGTCGTCGTCGCTGTTGATCACTATGAAGTTGGGTGGGATCCGAACCCATTCCCCTGCAAGCGCGGGACCAACGCAGAGCCCACCGTCACCCATTGTTCTCACCAAAACCACGGCCATCGCCATCAACGTCATCATCATTATCGTAGTCGTCATCATCATCGTCATCATTGTCGTCATCATTGTCGTCATCATTGTCGTCATCATTGTCGTCAGCTCAGTGGAGCCTTACAACTGGTAAAATAAAAAGTTTGTACAGTGGTACCTCGGTATATGTCGTTAATTCGTTCCAGAAGGTAGGTAGGACTTATACCAAAAATTATGTATACCAAACGAATTTTTCCCATAAGAAATAAAGGGAAAGGAAATAATCCGTTCCAGAGGTAAATAAATGATATTTAATGTGGCATATTATACATTAATGGGGTTGTATAAAACAATTTAGACACTAATTACTAAAATGAATACAGAAGCCACGTGACCGCGCTGCTGCCAGCTGCGCTGGTCACGTGGCGTGCCTCAACCCCCCACGTCACGCGCGCCTCGACCCGGGGCTCCACCCTCCATGGGGGCAGCCCGCCGCACCCCACCGCCCCGCCCCCCAACGCCCCCCGCCCCTCTCCCCCACGCCCCCCGCCCCTCTCCCCCACGCCCCCCGCCCCTCTCCCCCACGCCCCCCGCCCCTCTCCCCCACGCCCCCCGCCCCTCTCCCCCACGCCCCCCGCCCCTCTCCCCCACGCCCCCCGCCCCTCTCCCCCATGCCACCCCATCCCTCTCGCTTTGTTTCAGTCGTGAACGGGGCATACGCGGGTATTGTACGCAGTGACTCATCCCGCCCCATACAAGTTCTAGCAAACGCGTCGTATCCCAAGCAAGAGGTCGTCGTATCCCAAGACATTTTTTTCTCAAGAAAACACGACGTGTACCAAATTCGACTTATTCCAAAGCGGTCGTATACCGAGGTCCCACTGTATTTGGATGCTATACATTGCCACATGATGATTAAGCCTCTTCGTTGAGCCATCATTTGTGATATACCCAGGGTCACTTCTGAGAAAGAGCTACACAGCTCGGGGGCCCTTACACCTGGTAACACAAACTAGTTTTAGTTTATCATTTTAGTTCAGCGGTACTCCCTCAAGTGTTTCGCTGGCGGTATTACAATGGTTTGATCGGACGTTCACCGTGCCAATGGTCTCAGTCGGCCGGTCGCGGCCTCTCACCGGTGCTGCTGGGACCTGGCGCAGCGTCGCTGAAGGAGTGGCGGGGCCGGCGGCACCGCGGTGACGGCGGTGAGGACGACGACGCCGGCGGCGAAGCCCGGCTCACGCCACCTGCACCGGTGCAAGATCTCAGGTGAGACGGCACCGCCAGGGACGGAGCCTCATAACGCGTGGGCGTGCAGCGGTGGTGGTAACAGTGGTGATGGCAGTGGTGGTAACGGTGGTGGCTGTGGTGATGGTAGTGGTGACAGTGATGGTGGTAGTGATGGTGGTAGTGGTGGTGGTAGTGGTGGTGTAGTGGAGGCTCGTGAAGGACGCTGCTACTGGGCAGTTTGAGGCAGTCGCCCTCCAGCAACAACGGAGGGCAGAGGATCAATGCTCACAACAACAAGCAGAGCGCCGGGTGGCTAAAATACAGCAAGTTGGCACAGTAGGGGGTACAGCTGGTGTGCATCTACTGGTCATCTCAGCCAACCTAGCAGGTATGACACTTCACGTGGCCTCAAAGTGCGCCTGGGCCTAGCACAGTGGTGACAGTCACCGACACTTAGTGGCGAACGGCGGGTGTTGGTATTGGTGGTGCTGATGGCGGTTGTGGTGTCAGTGGTAGTAATTGTAGTGGCAATGGTGGTGGCTGTGATGATGATGGTATTTGGAGGTGGTTGTAGTGGTGCTGCTGGTGATAGTGGTGCTCATACCGTTGCTAGCACCGCTTCTACTGCTGAAGCTAGTTCTGCTGCTTTGTACTGCAAAAGCTGTTGCGATTTAAAACTATTTTAAACTATTTTAATTTCACTAGAGAAGGCCCACTGAGCTATGTAGCTCTTGTTCAGAAGCGACCTGGCAATAAATGAGAAAGCCCATTCAAGTGGCTTATAGCATGGAAATTCACAGCGGCCAAAAACGCGTGATGTTGATTTAAAAAAATGTGAAGGGAAAACCGGAGGGGACCCGGATAAAAATCCACGCGACCACTGGGAGATGGAGAGACGCAGACTACAAATATACAGCAGCAGGCGTCAGGGTCGGGATCGAATCCGTGACCTCCTGTATACCAGGCGAGGGAGTCAACATCTCCGGTGGGCTCTGTCAGAATCTGTAGTTAGACTGGAGTAATCCGATGAGCTCTGAAGCTATTTTACCGCTGCTGCCAATGCTGATGCCAATAAGATTACTACTGCTGCTGCAAGTATTGATGCCAGTAAGATTACTACCACTGCTGCTGCCAGCACTGCTGCCAGCACTGCTGCCAGTAAGATTACTACTGCTGCTGCAAGTATTGATGCCAGTAAGATTACTACCACTGCTGCTGCCAGCACTGCTGCCAGTAAGATTACTACTGCTGCTGCAAGTATTGATGTCAGTAAGATTACTACCGCTGCTGCTACCATTGCTGATGCCAGTAAGATTAATACTACTGCAAGTATTGATGCCAGTAAGATAACTACCGCTGCTGCTGCCAGTGCTGATTGCCAGTAAGATCACTGCTGCTGCTACCAGTGCTGATGCGAATAAGATTACTACCGCTACTGCTGAAAGTATTGATGTCAGTAAGATTACTACCACTGCTGCGAGTACTGATGCCAGTAGAATCACTACTGCTTCCAGTGCTAGGCAGAACGGGTGGACGAGTTGGGGGGGGGGGTCTCACCGGCGAGTCCTCTCGGGCAGACGTCGCGACCGGGAGAACATCGCAGCCCGAGCCGTCTCCTCGCCTGGGTCGTGGGGGGGTGGTGGTGGCTCATGGGAGCCTGTGGCCACGCGCATACCCGTAGCAGGGGTGGGTGTGGGGTGGTTGACGTGGGGTGGGGTGGTTGACGTGGGGTGGATGAGGTGGAGTGGGTGTGGTGGGGTGAGTGGGGTGGGATGGGTTGGGTGGGGGGCGGTCAGAACAACAATGCCACACGGGAACTCATTTGAAGCCGAGTCGACCTAGGGGAGTCCCAGAACTAGTTCAGATAACAAGTTCTGGGGCTCCCATCACCAGTGGCGATTATAACACTCGCAAACATGCACACGCACCACCACTGACGCTCACCAATAGTGACACTCACCACCAACACGCTCCGCCACACAGACGCTCACCAACAGTGATAATAATCGCCACTGGTGATGGCCGAGAGCGGGAATCGAACTCGGGCCGCCGGGTTCGTAGCAGGGAGTAGCACTGACTGCTACACTACCCCTCATCTTTGTTGGGTATACGCGGATGGACAGAAGTATGGATAGGAAACACACACAAAGACAAATATCCCCCATATAGGCTTAACACTGTTGTGGGAAGGGCTATTAGCGAGCACCTATAAAGGCCGGCACGGCACACGAGGGGGTGGGAGGCCCAGGACCGGTTCAGATAATCGTCACTGGTGTTGGCTGTGAGGAGGAATCAAATTCGTGTCGCCGGGTTCGTAGCGCAGCATGCTAAACGCTACACTACCGGCTCCCCACACACAACAATCGCCATTCGCCCCCAAAGTGGCGGTGACGTCACCACGACGCTTGTGCCAGGCTATGTGCACCTTGAGGCCACGTGAAGTGTTGAACGCCCGCTGGCAGGAGGTCATGGGGCAGACCCAGCTGCCACGGGTCGACTGACTGAGATGACTGGCTGATGCACCACCTGTGCCCCCTACTGTGCCAACTTGCTGTGCTTTATCCACCCGGTGCTCCGCTAGTCGTAGTGAGCGACGCTCCTGCCGGAGCTCACTGATGGGACTTTGTCTAGACCTTTGAAGGATTTGTGAGCTCCTCACACCATCCAGCCTGGTTAAACCCAGGATGGATCGTAGGCAGGCCATCCTAAATTTTTTAACCGGCGTAGATGTTCCATTCGGGGGGTTCACGTTGCGCAAGCGTAGAGAAGGGAGGGAATGACCGTGGGCGAGAAGACCTGAAGCTTCGTGCGGAGCGTCAGACCAGGTAGCTTCCACACAGCGTTAAGCAACTGATGAAAGATAATGTCGCTCGATTGATTCGGAGTGAGGCCTCTGCTGTTAAACCGGATCCAGTCATGAGCACACTGCCCAAGTATGGGAACCCTCCACTCTCTTCACAACTGCCTTTTCATCAATTGGGAGTTTTGGGGGTGGGGTGTCCGATGGTACAAAATACCCAGGCAGGTGCTTAGTTTTGGTGGGGCTGATGGTAATGCCCCAACCGCTTAGTGGCAAGCTCCAGGTTCAGCAGCAGCGCCTCCAACTCCTCCACCGAGTGAGCAGCAATTACCAGATCGTTGGCATACATAACGTGGTTGAGCAATAGGGAGCCATCCCTTGACCGCACCCGGGCATCGATCAGCCTCCCATTGTATCTGTACCAGATGGGAATTCCTCCGGTACAGCTATTAAAGGCTTCACGAACTACGTGATCGAAATAGATGTTAAATAATGTGGGAGCCAGAGGACATCCCTGTCGCACCCCAAGGTGTACAGCGAATGGCTCCGACTCCCGGCAACATAGTTTTACCTGGGCCCGCACACCATTATGAAGGTCCTTAATGATCGTGAGCAGAGGGTCAGGGATTCTGAAAGCACGAAGAACTACCCAGAGCCCAGGGCTACTGATGGTATAATAGGCCTTGACCAGGTAACTGACACACACACACTGAGACACACTCACCTGTGAGCACGCCGGTGGCTCTGCGTTGAGCTCTGGCAGTGGCTGCCGCCTCTTTCTGCTGACAAGGATGGGGCTGTGGGTAGTAACCATGGTGACACTCACCAACACGCTCACCAACACTCGCCAACACGCTCACCGACACTCGCCAACACTGACACTCACCAATGTAACACTCACCAACACGCTCACCCACACTGACACTCACCAAAACGCTAACCCACACTGACGCTCACCAACAGTGACACGCACCAAAAGTGACACTGACCAACACGTTCACCCACACTGACGCTCACCAACAGTGACGCTCACCAACACGCACACCGACACTGACCAACAGTGATACTCGCCGGCACCGAGACTCACAATCGTTGTCACTCACCCACGCCCTGTTTTTCGGCTCACCTCACCTGTTGGATCCCCCCCCAAGATGGCGGCGGCGTGTGCGGCGGCGTGTGAATTGTGCTGCACGAGTACGAGCTGTACGTGAGAATGGGTGAGAATGAGCTGCATGTGAGCTGCGTGTGAGCATGTGTGAGTGAGTGTGAGTGAGTTGTGTGTGTGCGAGTGAGCTGCGTGTGTGAGTGTGAGTGAGTGAGTTGTGTGTGTGCGAGTGAGCTGCGTGTGTGTGTGCGAGTGAGCTGTGTGTGTTTATATTGAGAGTGGCGGGTGCAAGGGGGTTTAATCGTTTTACTCGGGTTTAATCGTGTGTTCTTTCTCCATTTGTTCGTAATCATCACTTTCCTTCATCTCTCTCGTGAGTGTCAATATAAATGTACGTGTCTGTATTCATTACAACACAAATGAATGTTTATTTATTCTAATGTTAAGGTTTATTAACTACGTTTATTTAATGTTAATGAGTTTGAATGTGATTAAGGCCTAGTCCGTTAGCGCCTTGCCTCAAGCCCACGGCTTTTTGTATATTACTTTAAAGAGTTTGTTCATTTGTGTAAATTTATGCACAATACATCGTACTCGGGTCACCAGGTTCATAATGCAACAAGATACAAATACACGTAGATTTATTCTAATTTAAGATGTATTCACTGTGTCTATCGAGTTTAAATGTGATAAAGGCCTAGTCCATCAGCACCTTGACTACAGCCCTCAGCTTTTTGTATTGTTTTTAGTTTCTGTTAAATTGGGTACATTTATGCACTTTCGAATATAAATGTACGTGTCTATATTTATTATAATACAAATACAAGGATATTTATTCAAATCTAGGGTTTATCTTTGTTTAGAGTAATTTTTTTTTATCAAGGCCTAGTTCGCCATTGCCTCGTCTAAAGCCCTAGACTTCAGGCTTTTCATATTGTGTATTTATTATCCTTTACGGTTTATGAATTAATGAGGAAGCCACTGGGGCAGATTGAAAACTATTTTCTTTAGAACAATTTTTTTGTGTGTTTAGTTTGTTGTCCTTTCCCCGCACCTCTGATTACCGCAGTCGGCTGTGTACAGTGCGAAAGAAGTTCAACGTAGGTTTGTGAGCTGCCCACACGAGACGGCCTGGTGACACCCAGGGCGAGTCGTAGGCAGGCCTCCCGGGACGTTAAAAAAAAGCACAGATATTCAACTCACTCACAAACACACAAACACACAAACGGTGACAACAACCGCAATTTGCCGCTGAGTGGCGATGACGTCACCACGACGCTTGTGCCAGGCTATGCGCACGATCAAGGTGCCACGGGTCGACTGACACACAACCACACTCAGACGAAGACCCCCATTTAGCCTTAACGTGATTTTGGGGCAAGTGCTGTTTTCGAGCAGTATAAATGGGGGCCGGCATGGCACAGGAGGAGGTGTGTGGGTGGGTAGCACCTGGCCCGGCCGCCTTTGTCTCCCGAAGTCACAGGGAGCAGCACCCAAGGGCCCTGCGGACCGCCGTGGTCGTGGTGGCGAGGAGTGACGCGTCGCTCATGCTCGTGTGAAGTGCACGGAGAGTCTGTGGTGGAGCGCTTGAGCAGACCGAGAGAGCCACGGCAGGTGACGGTGGTGAAGGAGGGCTGGCTCTACAAGCGTGCTGCAAGTATATGACTGGGGCGATGAGAAATCAGGCGCACAGGCCGACAACGAGGGAACTGCAGACCACGCTCCGCTCGCTGTCCTCTAAGCTCGAGGATATGAGCACATGCAACGACCTGATCGGCAAGCACGGAGCCGCCCTCCAGCGTTCGCTCAACGACCTGGAAAACCTTAAGCTGCTGCCCGAGTGCAGCGAGAAGCTAAAGGCCATCAATGAGCATGCCACCTCCAATGCTGTGACCAACAGTGATCTCTTGCTCTGATGTCAATTTGAGGGCGGTGCCCATCTCCAAAAACTTTAGCACACGGGCGATAGGCCGTGCATGTGTGACGAGTGCGGCAAGACGTTTCTCGCGCTCGGCCTACAAGTACTGCTGCTTACAAGTACTACATACACAGAGACATACATCCAGACGTACACACACCCACACACAGACGTACAGAAACACGTACACACAGACGCACCTCGGCGTGACTGGCACGAAGTTGGGGCTACGCGTGACACTCACGCGGCGACAGCGCCGGCGGCGGTGCAGGAGGAGTCCACTGCGCCGCCGCTTGCGCGCCGGCTCCGGCGTTTCCGGGACGGCGGAGGGGCTGGAGTCGGAAAAGTGCCCGGAGGTCTCCACAAACGCGGCGTCCATCAACCCAACACCGGCAACACCATCGTCGTCGTCGGCTCCGCCATTGTCGCCGTCGCCGCTCACGCCACGGCAAATGCCGAGAGAGCCACCCGGGACGGGATCGCCGTCCCCCTTTGCCTCCGCGGCGACGGCACCCACACGGGCCGCGCTCGGCCACTCACCGGACCACAACGGCGGTGGCACGTCGGCGATAGAGCCGCGATCATCACTGCTGTCGATGTTGGTGCTGCTGCTGTTGATGTTGGTGCTGCTGCTGTCGATGTTGGTGCTGCTGCTGTCGATGTTGGTGCTGCTGCTGTCGATATTGGTGCTGTTCCTACTGCTGTCGATATTGCTGTTCCTGCTGCTGTCCATGTTGGTGCTGTTCCTGCTGCTGTCCATGTTGGTGCTGTTCCTACTGCTGTCGATATTGCTGTTCCTGCTGCTGTCCATGTTGGTGCTGTTCCTGCTGCTGTCGATGTTGGTGCTGTTCCTGCTGTTGTCAATATTGGCGATGCTGTTGGTGCCGCTGCCGCCGCTGCTGTTCTTACAGATGCCGTCGGCACTCCGCCGGCCGTTTGCTAGCCGTCCCTTGCGACTGTGGCGAATACGTCGCGCATCGTCACCGTCCAATTTCCGAGCGCCGATGTGCCCAGCGGGGATAGCGGCAGCAGCGGCGGCGGCAACGGCACCACCACCACCGCCTATGCCAGAAGCGACTGTCCCTGCAGTGTCGGGGCTGTGCCACTCTGCTGATTGGCGGGAACGCCGGGCGCACTCTCTTACAACGCCGCCGCTCGCACCGTCTCTGTCTCTGCGAGCATCGCTTTTAGCGACAGGGAGGAAGCAAAGGACGTCTTCGATGGCACCGTCCTTGCGTCTTTTGCCGTTTAATTTGCCCACGCCGGTTTTGCCACCTTTGGCCAACAAGTGAGAGAGCAGAGAACACTCGCCGTCGGAGTCGTCATCGTCAACACCGCAGGCGGCGCCTCTCGCCGCGGCCGGAGACGGCGGCCAACCGGAGCCGCCAGCAGACTCGTCATCGCCGGCAAGCGCTCGTCTCTTGCGAGCGTTGCCGATGGCGACGTCGGGCGGCCGTCGTGAGACGGAGGCGGCGTGGTCATCATCGTTGTCGTGGCGTTTGCGTGACAGAGCAGCGTCGGGCCGGCGATGCCTTCTACCCGTCGGCTCGCCGGCCTCGTCACGGAGCCGCACCGTCGACATCGTGGCCGCGTGGGGAGCGGCGAGCGGGGCGAGCGGGGCTGGCGAGACGGCGGAGCCCGACCTGGTCCGGGGACGGCAGCACAGTCGCGCACCACTGCCCTCGTCTGAAGCCATCATCCTGCAGCTGGTGGGCTTGGCAGGAACCGCCAGAAACTACACCAAAGACAAAGATCCCACAGAAATAGTTTCAACAGACTGTTGGGGCAAGTGCTGTTAGCGAGTAGCACCTATGAAGGCCGGCCGCTGTGGCACATGAGGGGATGGGTGGCCGGCACCACGCCCGGGCACCTTTGTCTCCCCAGTGAGCAATACAGTATACGCGTACAGTGTAATACCCAGAAACACCATCAAAGACAAAGATCCCCAATAACCTTAACAGACTGTTGGGGTAAGTGCTGTTAGCGAGTAGCACCTATTAAGGCCGGCACTGTGTCAACACACGAGGGGGGTGGGTGGCCAGCACCACGCCCGCACGGTCGCCTTTGTCTCCCCAGTGAGCGATACAGCATAAGCATAGAGTGATACAGTATAAGCGTATAGTGTAATACAATATAAGCGTACAATGTGCAACAGTATAAGCGTATAGTTTGATACGTTATAAACGTAATGTGACAGTATAATCGTTGTGATACAGTATGAACGTAGCGTGATACAGTATAGTCGTTGTGGTACAGTGTGGTTGTAGTGTGATACAGTATAATAGTTGTGGTACAGTGTGGTTGTAGTGTGATACAGTATAATAGTTGTGGTACAGTGTGGTTGTAGTGTGATACAGTATAATAGTTGTGGTACAGTGTGGTTGTAGTGTGATACAGTATAATAGTTGTGGTACAGTGTGGTTGTAGCGTGATACAGTATAATAGTTGTGGTACAGTGTGGTTGTAGTGTGATACAGTATAATAGTTGTGGTACAGTGTGGTTGTAGCGTGATACAGTATAATAGTTGTGGTACAGTATGGTTGTAGCGTGATACAGTATAATAGTTGTGGTACAGTGTGGTTGTAGCGTGATACAGTATAATAGTTGTGGTACAGTGTGGTTGTAGCGTGATACAGTATAATAGTTGTGGTACAGTATGGTTGTAGCGTGATACAGTATAATAGTTGTGGTACAGTGTAGTTGTAGCGTGATACAGTATAATAGTTGTGGTACAGTGTGGTTGTAGTGTGATACAGTATAATAGTTGTGGTACAGTGTGGTTGTAGCGTGATACAGTATAATAGTTGTGGTACAGTGTGGTTGTAGCGTGATACAGTATAATAGTTGTGGTACAGTGTGGTTGTAGCGTGATACAGTATACTAGTTGTGGTACAGTGTGGTTGTAGCGTGATACAGTATAATAGTTGTGGTACAGTGTGGTTGTAGCGTGATGCAGTATAATAGTTGTGGTACAGTGTGGTTGTAGTGTGATACAGTATAATAGTTGTGGTACAGTGTGGTTGTAGCGTGATGCAGTATAATAGTTGTGGTACAGTGTGGTTGTAGTGTGATACAGTATAATAGTTGTGGTACAGTGTGGTTGTAGCGTGATGCAGTATAATAGTTGTGGTACAGTGTGGTTGTAGCGTGATGCAGTATAATAGTTGTGGTACAGTGTGGTTGTAGCGTGATACAGTATAATAGTTGCGGTACAGTGTGGTTGTAGCGTGATGCAGTATAATAGTTGTGGTACAGTGTGGTTGTAGCGTGATACAGTATAATAGTTGTGGTACAGTGTGGTTGTAGCGTGATACAGTATAATAGTTGTGGTACAGTGTGGTTGTAGCGTGATGCAGTATAATAGTTGTGGTACAGTGTGGTTGTAGCGTGATACAGTATAATAGTTGTGGTACAGTGTGGTTGTAGCGTGATACAGTATAATAGTTGTGGTACAGTGTGGTTGTAGCGTGATACAGTATAATAGTTGTGGTACAGTGTGGTTGTAGTGTGATACAGTATAATAGTTGTGGTACAGTGTGGTTGTAGTGTGATAGTATAATAGTTGTGGTACAGTGTGGTTGTAGTGTGATACAGTATAATAGTTGTGGTACAGTGTGGTTGTAGCGTGATACAGTATAATAGTTGTGGTACAGTGTGGTTGTAGTGTGATACAGTATAATAGTTGTGGTACAGTGTGGTTGTAGCGTGATACAGTATAATAGTTGTGGTACATTGTGGTTGTAGCGTGATACAGTATAATAGTTGTGGTACAGTGTGGTTGTGGTGTGATACAGTATAATAGTTGTGGTACAGTGTGGTTGTAGTGTGATACAGTATAATAGTTGTGGTACAGTGTGGTTGTAGCGTGATACAGTATAATAGTTGTGGTACAGTGTGGTTGTAGTGTGATACAGTATAATAGTTGTGGTACAGTGTGGTTGTAGTGTGATAGTATAATAGTTGTGGTACAGTGTGGTTGTAGTGTGATACAGTATAATAGTTGTGGTACAGTGTGGTTGTAGTGTGATAGTATAATAGTTGTGGTACAGTGTGGTTGTAGTGTGATACAGTATAATAGTTGTGGTACAGTGTGGTTGTAGCGTGATACAGTATAATAGTTGTGGTACAGTGTGGTTGTAGTGTGATACAGTATAATAGTTGTGGTACAGTGTGGTTGTAGCGTGATACAGTATAATAGTTGTGGTACATTGTGGTTGTAGCGTGATACAGTATAATAGTTGTGGTACAGTGTGGTTGTGGTGTGATACAGTATAATAGTTGTGGTACAGTGTGGTTGTAGTGTGATACAGTATAATAGTTGTGGTACAGTGTGGTTGTAGCGTGATACAGTATAATAGTTGTGGTACAGTGTGGTTGTAGCGTGATGCAGCACGACCTCGATATTCATCTCGCGCGGTTCAAATAAAGCACGACGGGTGGTGGTTTGCAGGTGAATGCGAAAGACGTTACTCGCGTCGTCTTGTTGAGAATGTAGCGAGCGGCGTCTCGCAAGGAAGCCGCCGCCACCGGCGACGACGACGACGAAGATGATGAAGATGACGATGAAGATGACGAAGCCCTCAAGCGACTTTTCCCGCCGGGTCACCGCCAACTGTCGCCCCAGAATCGCCGCGATCCCCGATTGGCTCCGAGCGCCGTCACGTGACGAGGCGCCCTCGTTTTCATTGGCGGGTTTCACTTCGAGTCGAAACATGTTTCGCTGCCGAATCCAGAAGGAGGTCTTCCGTTTCCAGAAGATGATCTTCCGGTTTCAGAAGATTATCTTCCGGTTTCAGAAGATTATCTTCCGGTTTCAGAAGATAAACTTCCGGTTTCAGAAGATGATCTTCCGTTTCCAGAAGATGATCTTCCGGTTTCAGAAGATGATCTTCCGTTTTCAGAAGATGATCTTCCGTTTTCAGAAGATGTTCTTCCTGATTTCAGAAGACGTTCTTGCTGTTTCCAAAAGACGTTCTTCCTTTTTCCAGAAGATGTTCTTCCAGATTTCAGAAGACGTTCTTCCAGATTTCAGAAGACGTTCTTCCATTTCCAGAAGATGTTCTTCTGTTTCCAGAAGATGTTCTTCCATTTCCAGAAGATGTTCTTGCTGTTTCCAGAAGATGTTCTTCCATTTCCAGAAGATGTTCTTGCTGTTTCCAAAAGACGTTCTTCCTTTTTCCAGAAGATGTTCTTCCAGATTTCAGAAGACGTTCTTCCAGATTTCAGAAGACGTTCTTCCATTTCCAGAAGATGCTCTTCTGTTTCCAGAAGATGTTCTTCCATTTCCAGAAGATGTTCTTGCTGTTTCCAGAAGATGTTCTTGCTGTTTCCAGAAGATGTTCTTGCTATATTCTTAGGTTTTTTCGGTAAAGTCACGTAGGTAAAACATCAAAATTAATAAAAATAAAATAAAACGAAAAATCACGACGTTTTTATTAATTTTGATGTTTTACCTACGTGACTTTACCGAAAAAACCTAAGAATATGAATCCTTGCAGTCATGAAAGCTTCAAATCTAGAATTGATGTTCTTGCTGTTTCCAGAAGATGATCTTCCATTTCCAGAAGATGTTCTTCCTGTTTTGAGAAGATGTTCTTCCTGTTTTCAGAAGATGTTCTTCCTGTTTCCAGAAGATGTTCTTCCTGTTTTCAGAAGATGTTCTTCCTGTTTTCAGAAGATGTTCTTCCTGTTTTCAGAAGATGTTCTTCCTGTTTTCAGAAGATGTTCATCCTGTTTCCAGAAGATGTTCTTCCTGTTTTCAGAAGGCCAACTTCCGTTTTCCGGAAGCCAAGCGTCCGTTTTCAGAAGATACATTTACGTTTTCAAAAGATCTATCTCCGTTTTCAGAAGATGAATTTCTGTTTTCAGACCAACTTCCGATTTCAGATGACCAGCGTCTGTTTTCAGAAGACAATTTCTATATACCGCCTTCAGATGAATAACCGTAGTTGTAATCTTGATTTAAAGTTTTCGTGACTGCAGGAATCCATACTCTTTGGTTCTTTTGGTAAAGTCACGTAGGTATAAAATAAATTAAATCACGACGTTTCGATTGCAACATAAGCAATCATCATCAGGTGGGAACACCACCGCAAGAAAATGTTTTGCTGAAGTGGGAGAGAGAGTTGCCATGGTAAGAGGCTATATAGGTGTAGTGTTGCAATTATGACGAATAAACTTCTTTATGAGGCACACGTTGTTTATCGTCTTTCACTACAGGGTCCCTAGCATGAAGGGTATATCAGTCCTTTCACCCGATACCTCGGCGATATGGCCTCCGAAATATATGGGACCTAATTCTGGTGACCCGTTCCCTTTCGTCCTCCGGCTGGGACCTAGGGGAGGCTAACTGACCCTGACCTCCTGGTCCGTGGGTCCTGACCACTGGCCTCTCTGAGCTCCAACCCTTAGAAGGGCTGCAGAGCGTGGGGTCCAGGGTCATATTCTCCAGCCAGGTTTTCTGTCTTCGGCGTGTAGATAACTGAGCCAGAGCTCTCAGAGCTCTGAGAGCTCTGGCTTATATACCCGTTCGTGGCCGGCTCCGCCCTGGCCACGCCTTCCTTCTGGAACATTCTGGGCCATCCTGGAAGGTGATATCATCCCCCCGGTCCCCCCCACCCAGGGGCCTAAGGAATGCGTCCTAGGATCCGTGTACCGGGATCCGCCGTTGGCCCCTCTCTGGCCCATAGCATTTGCCCTGGCGAGGTAACGCCTCTGCCCTCTATTGACAGTAAGTGGCACTGCAGGGCTGTTGAATGGCGAGTGACAATCACTCCGACATCGGTAAGAAAGGGGGAGGAGCAACTCTCTCTCCCACTTCAGCAAACAATGTTCTTGCAGTGGTTTTCCCACCTGATGATGATTGATTGTGTTGCAATCGAAACGTCGTGATTTAAATAATCTCCATACATGTTTCCAAATGTGGAGGGGGGAAAAAACCAGAGGAGCCGGAGAAAAAACCCACGCGACCATAGGGAGAGAGAGAGACAGACAAACTCAAAATATGCAGCAGGCGTCAAGGTTGTGATCGAACCCACGACCACCTGTATACCAGGCGTGGTAGTTAACATCTCCTAGCCACCGTGATGATGATGGGAGAGAGACGCAGACTCCAAATATACAGCAGCAGGCGTCAGGGTAGGGATCAAACCCCCGACCTCTTGTATACCAGGCGAGGGAGATAACGTCTCACCATCACCATGGAGGAATGAATGAGTGAGTCAAATGAGACAGAGTGCGTGTGTGCGATTGAGTGAGATTCCAGATTGCTCAGCAAACGTCCAGCAGTGTGAAAAATTGGCGCCACATTCATGACAAATTAGCTCAACATGCAACAGCCTTCCGCGACCAATGTTATCCACAATCGAGGTTTTTTTTTAGATCGCGTAATCATAAATGTGTCGTCAAACGCGCCATTAAATCATTACCAGTGAAAATGTTGTGGTGGGTTTACTGCCCAACATGCAACCGGTTAGTTTTGAACAAGTATACAACACTATACACTTCACTATACACTACTATACACTACACTATACACTAAACCAGTTGTTCTTCTTAACCTGGGGTTCACGCTGCACCCCCAGGGGGTGCGAAATGCCCTTTCTGGGGGGTAATGAGACAACGAGACATGGGCAGATTTTTTTTAAGAAGGCAAATCATCGAAAAAACAAATGAAGCATAAGTTACAACTTACCTTGTTTAATCATGTGACCTTGTTTGCCAATATCAAAGTATGAAAAATAACGATAGTTTTTACTCTTTTTGGCAATAAAACAGGAGTTGTGTTAAGATATTCAAACACCAAATAGATATATTGTGCAAGGAATCAAGTCTGCATTAACCACACAGTACTTGTGGTGAACATGCAAACAAACATGCTCCAATAGTAATAATATATACGCATACTCTTTGGTTCTTTCGGCAAAGTCACGTAGGTATAAAATAAATTAAATCACGACGTTTCGGGCGCAACACAAGCATCCATCATCAGGTGGTGATTTAATTTATTTTATACCTACATGACTTTACCGAAAGAACCAAACCGTAGTTGAATCGGTCGGCCCAACGTTGGCGACCCAACGTTGGCGACCCAACGTTCCACATTTACTGTGTTGGGGAGGCCTTCATCCAGCATTGGTTTGATCGCGGCTGCTGATGATGACTTATATCCCACCTGGTTGAGTGAGGAACATTGTCTCGAACGGTTCTTTGGCCAACAGGGGTTTGGCAGAAAGGCCACTCCAGGATGTTCCCTCCCAGCCCTCCCTATCCCGTGACACGCGTAGAGGTTGAAACCTGCTGAAGGGGCGGGCAGTTGGAGGCAGTCGCTCTTCAGCAACAGCGGAGGGCCAGAGGAGCGACGCTCACAACAACGAGCGGAGCGCCGGGCAGCCGAAACACAGCGAGTTGGCACAGTCGGGGGCACAGGTGGTGCACCGGCCACTCATCTCAGTCATCTCAGTCGATACGTGGCACCTGCTGGGTCTGCCCCGTGACCTCCTGCCGGCGGGCATTCAACACTTCCAGTGGCCTTAACGTGCACTTAGCCTGGCACAAGCGCCGTGGTAGCGTCACCGCCAATTATTGGTGAATGGCGGTTGTTGTTTGTAACCAGAACTCCTTCACATCGTATTACGCCCATGTTGACTCTCCCTGTATTGCCTTCCAAACTCACGTAAAATCCAGTTTAAAATCTTCTTGTTACCTCAACAAAGCGGTGGACCATCTTGATGCCCCAGCCTACATCATTGACAAGCCGCACCCATACGTCCCCCTCAAGGTCCATAAGATGTGGGGGGTGCAGATCTCTCTGCATTCCCAGGTCGAGGCGTCTTCGCTCTGTGCGTGACCGAGATGTTTCTCCGCGTAGCCCCCAGGCTATGGAACGCTCTTCCACGATACATCAGAGGAATCGCTCTGAGTCATTAAAAAAAATGCATGTTAAAACGTATTTATACATGCTTCTGCTTGTTAAACTGTTAGTTCAGTTCGTAAATGGGATTCTTAAAATGTATTGAAAAATTATTTTTATGCTGAGTGTCTGCTGCTGCTGTGTCCTGTACATCGCTTTGAGATCCTTGATCAGAAGCCGCGATATCAATGTGAAGAGGAGACTCGATCTGGTCGAAGAAGGGTCCTTATTTGGACGCCAACTCACTCCCCACTTCACTCGTCATCCCAAAAGCCAACTCCGTCTCCCCCCCTTTCCCGCCAATCACCTCTGGATTTCCCACTCTTTTGCAATCCTTCCCCGCACCAATCCGATCAGTGTCCTCCACTCAGACATCAGATTGCTGTCGTGCACGGCAGTGCTCACGTGACCCCTGACCTTTAACCCGTGGTTGTGTGTGGAGATGTCCCGAACGTCCTCTACACATGTCAATATTATTAAGATCATCACCACCGACGATTATCACCACCGACGATACTCACCACCGACGGTACTCACCTGACGTGCTGGACACCGCGTGCAGGCAGACACGGATACATTAGGGAGTAATAAACAAAGCTCCCTGTGATTGGTGCCTGAAAGGATTTCAGTTCGAGGCAGGGACACGTTGAAAAGGGCGGGAGACTGGAGGGCGATTGACAGGGAGGGTCAGTTGGGATCCATGCGATCCTGTACTTTGCACTCCTATCGTGTTCGTGTGCTGTGTTTCTTGTTGTTGTAACGTTCTTAGCCCGTGCCCTTTCTAGACATCTGCGACAAAAAAGCTTTATAGCTCATCGGATTCCTCCTGCAGGAAAATTAAAGATTCTGATTGACTTAATGGCTATTTTTGTTAATATATTTTACCCGGTGTAAGGCCCCACTCAGCTGACACAATCCACGCGACCATGGGGAGAGAGAGACACGCAAACTCCAAATATACAGCAGGCGTCAGGGTCGGGATCGAACCCACCATGACCTCCTGTATACCAGGCGAGGGAGTTGTACGTAAGTTGTTCACATCTCGCCACCGTGGCGAGATGTGAACAACTTACGCACAACATACACATCCTCCTATAGGAACTTCCCAATATTTGTCTTCGCGGATGTTGTTTGTTAAACTATAAAAACAACTAATGTATAATTTAATTTAGCAGGTGTAGTGAGTCACTTTGGAGACACTAATAGTAGGAGGCACATACGTTGTTTATTCTACACTTAAACACTTCTGTTCACACACAGGATAACTACAAACGAGGAGACGAAGACGTAGAGGTAGCACAACAGGTCCATTCCAAACGACAGCCTCGATCCAGCCTCGGGACCTCCCTTTTATGCCCCCAACATGGCTTGGCTCCGCCCTCAGCCACGCCTCCTTTTGGAACCTACTAGAAGGTTCTGGGCTATACCCCACGTGTCCCCTCTGTCACCTTTGCCCTACATCCCTTACCCCGGCCTATCACGTGCCCTGTTAGCAGGCCAGGCTGCTGCTATGTCCTCAGATGCCCTCTCTCTGCCAGCAACCAGCGCTACGCACCCTAGTGAGCCATACTATGGCATTGCATGCTCTGCTAGCAGATCGGCTGCGACATCCACAATTCCCCTCTCTGTCAGCAACCAGCGCTACGCACCGTAGTGACCCATCGTACGTCGCTACTCAGGTAAGGGCCCCACTGAGCTATACGACTCTTTTTCAGAAGTGACCTGGCCACAAATGATGGCCCAACGAAGTGGCTTATCATGTGGAAATGTATAGCAGCCAAATAAACGCGTGACTTTTATTCTAAACATGGAGAGAGAAACCGGAAGACGCAGTGAAAAATCCACGCGACCACGCAGAGAGAGAGAGAGAGAGACGCGCAGACTCCAAATATAGACCAGGCGTAGTGAGGGTCAGGATCGAACCCACGACCTCCTGTATACCGGGCGAGGTAGTTAACACCTCTTAGCCACCGTGATGATGATGAGAGAGAGACGCAAACTCCAAATATACAGCAGGCGTAGTGAGGGTCAGGATCGAACCCACGACCTCCTGTATACCAGGCGAGGTAGTCAACATCTCCTAGCCACCGTGATGATGATGAGAGAGAGACGCAAACTCCAAATATACAGCAGGCGTAGTGAGGGTCGGGATCGAACCCATGAACTCCCTGTACAGCAGACAAGGGAGCGAACATCTCCTAGCCACCGTGGCGAGATGGTAACATACATACAACATACATACAACATACAGAGCCTCTTTTCGGAACTTCCCAGTGTGTCTCTCTGCGGATGTTGTTTGTTGACGATGGGGATGAGAAGGAGGAGAATAACATGAATAGGTTTGTTCGTAAATAGAGCATTCCAGGGACACTTTGCCCTATGTTTTGGATAGCCATTCGTCTTCTGGACAAATGTATACGTGTCACAACCCAATGACGTCTGCTGAAGGATTGTTACTCACCTATCAGAGCAGGAATGGATTTCTTTTCTCGCGTGAGTTGAATTTTAATGCCCGTGACTCACGTATAGGACCAACCTCCTTTAAATCCAGTCGTGGGGTTTTCGATCATCCATCCTCCGTATTGATGAGCTCTTCCACCATGTGCGAACGCGAGATTTGTATTGTCTATTCTATACAAAACAATTGCACCCGTTCGCGCTAAATAAATCCGAGGCTTTTCACCTAACAAAAAGAGAAGGAGGAGGACGAACGTAGGAGGGAGGAGGAGGAGGGAGGAGGAGGAAGATGACGAGGAGGCTGCTGGGGCGTACGCCCCAGTTGACTGCACGCCAGGCGGACTTGGCACGAGGCATCACAGACACGTCACAGAGACGTCACAGACACGTCACAGAGACGTCACAGGCGACGTCACAGAGGCGACGGCGCTCCGAGGAGGCTGCGGCAGAGTTCGGCGACGGGCATCCAGCGGGGGGCGGGGGGGGGGGGGCGGAGTCTCAAGTCCAAGATCGGCAGAGTAAATCATCAGCGAGAAGAGAGGCAGAGGGAGACGGAGAGAAAGAGAGAGGCAGAGACAGAGAGAGATGCAGAGACATAGAGACAGAGAAATACAGACGGAGAGAAAGAGAGACAGACAGACAGAGAGAAAGAGAGAGGCAGAGACAGAGACAGAGAAATACAGAGGGAGAGAAAGAGAGACAGACAGACAGAGAGACAGAGAGGGACAGAGACACAGAGAGAGAGAAAAGAGAGATACCAGCGCTGCTGGTGGTGGTGGTGGTGGCGACTTTCTCCGTCTGTTTCCACACGACCGCCTTTGACACCGGATCTGGCGAATACAGATCAAGGTCGCGCGAAGATCTCTTTGAGGTGTGTGTCTGTGTGTGTCTAGGTGTGTGTGTCTGTGTGTGTGTCTAGGTGTGTGTCTGTGTGTGTGTCTGTGTGTGTGTCTCTGTGTGTGTCTAGGTGTGTGTCTGTGTGTGTGTCTGTGTGCGTGTCTAGGTGTGTGTGTCTAGGTGTGTGTCTGTGTGTGTGTCTGTGTGTGTGTCTAGGTGTGTGTCTAGGTGTGTGTCTCTGTGTGTGTCTAGGTGTGTGTCTAGGTGTGTGTGTCTAGGTGTGTGTCTAGATGTGTGTCTGTGTGTGTCTAGGTGTGTGTCTAGGTGTGTGTCTAGGTGTGTGTCTAGGTCTGTGTCTAGGTGTGTGTCTGTGTGTGTGTCTAGGTGTGTGTGTCTCTGTGTGTGTCTAGGTGTGTGTCTGTGTGTGTGTCTGTGTGTGTGTCTGTCTGTGTGTCTGTGTGTGTCTAGGTGTGTGTCTGTGTGTGTCTAGGTGTGTGTCTAGGTGTGTGTGTCTAGGTGTGTGTGTGTCTAGGTGTGTGTCTAGGTGTGTGTCTAGGTGTGTGTCTAGGTGTTTGTCTGTGTGTGTGTCTGTGTGTGTGTCTAGGTTTGTGTCTAGGTGTGTGTCTAGGTGTGTGTCTGTTTGTGTGTCTAGGTGTGTGTCTAGGTGTGTGTCTAGGTGTGTGTCTGTGTGTGTGTCTAGGTGTGTGTCTGTGTGTGTGTCTGTGTGTGTGTCTAGGTGTGTGTCTAGGTGTGTGTCTAGGTGTGTGTCTGTGTGTGTGTCTGTGTGTGTGTCTAGGTGTGTGTCTGTGTGTGTGTCTGTGTGTGTGTCTAGGTGTGTGTCTAGGGGTGTGTCTAGGTGTGTGTCTGTGTGTGTGTCTAGGTGTGTGTGTCTAGGTGTGTTTCTGGGTGTGTGTCTGTGTGTGTCTAGGGGTGTGTCTAGATGTGTGTCTAGGTGTGTGTCTGTGTGTGTTTCTAGGTGTGTGTCTGTGTGTGTGTCTAGGTGTGTGTCTAGGTGTGTGTCTAGGTGTGTATCTGTGTGTGTCTTTGTGTGAGTTTAGGTGTGTGTCTAGGTGTGTGTTTAGGTGTGTGTCTAGGTGTGTGTCTGTGTGTGTGTCTAGGTGTGTGTCTGTGTGTGTGTCTAGGTGTGTGTCTGTGTGTGTGTCTAGGTGTGTGTCTAGGTGTGTGTCTAGGTGTGTGTCTAGGTGTGTGTCTAGGTGTGTGTCTAGGTGTGTGTCTAGGTGTGTGTCTAGGTGTGTGTCTAGGTGTGTGTCTGTGTGTGTGTCTAGGTGTGTGTCTAGGTGTGTGTCTGTGTGTGTCTAGGTCTGTGTGTGTCTAGGTGTGTGTCTAGGTGTGTGTCTAGGTGTGTGTCTAGGTGTGTGTCTAGGTGTGTGTGTCTAGGTGTGTGTCTAGATGTGTGTCTAGGTGTGTGTCTGTGTGTGTGTCTAGGTGTGTGTCTGTGTGTGTGTCTAGGTGTGTGTCTGTGTGTGTGTCTAGGTGTGTGTCTAGGTGTGTGTCTAGGTGTGTGTCTAGGTGTGTATCTGTGTATGTCTAGGTGTCTGTCTAGGTGTGTGTGTCTAGGTGTGTGTGTATGTCTAGGTGTGTGTCTAGGTGTGTGTCTAGGTGTGTGTCTGTGTGTGTCTAGGGGTGTGTCTAGGTGTGTGTCTAGGTGTGTGTCTGTGTGTGTCTAGATATGTGTCTAGGTGTGTGTAGGTGTGTGTCTGTGTGTGTCTAGGTGTGTGTCTGTGTGTGTGTCTAGGTGTGTGTCTAGGTGTGTGTCTGTGTGTGTGTCTAGGTGTGTGTCTGTGTGTGTGTCTAGGTGTGTGTCTAGGTGTGTGTCTAGGTGTGTGTCTAGGTGTGTGTCTGTGTGTGTGTCTAGGTGTGTGTCTGTGTGTGTGTCTAGGTGTGTGTCTAGGTGTGTGTCTAGGTGTGTGTCTAGGTGTGTGTCTAGTGTGTGTCTAGGTGTGTGTCTAGGTGTGTGTCTAGTGTGTGTGTCTAGGTGTGTGTCTAGGTGTGTGTCTAGGTGTGTGTCTGTGTGTGTGTCTAGGTGTGTGTCTGTGTGTGTCTAGGTGTGTGTCTGTGTGTGTCTAGGTGTGTGTCTAGGTGTGCGTCTAGGTGTGTGTCTAGGTGTGTGTCTAGGTGTATGTCTGCGTGTGTGTATTGGGAGCGGTGGTGCAGCGGTTAGCGCTACGCTGCGCTACGAACCCAGCGACTCGAGTTCGATTTTCGCTCACGGCCAACATCAGTGACGATTTACTGAACAGGTCCTGGGTCTCCCCTAGGTCGACTCAGCCTCAAATAAGTACCTGTTACAGTGTGTAGTAAACATCGCCACTGGGGAGAGACAAAGGCGGCCGGGCGTGGATGCTGGCCACCCCTTCGTGCGCTGTACCGGCCTTCCTAGGTGCTGCCCGCTAACAGCACTTGCCCCCGACAGTCTGTTAGAGGCTATACAGGGGACCTTTGCCTTTGTCTCCCTCTCCTTACTCTCTCTCTCTTGATCATCATCGGCTGTGGTGACGTCTTTCATTAAAACAAACAACAAAGTTGGTTCGGGCGATGACGGCGCCCCAACCTCGTTGAGTTCGTCTCGAGGTTGAGTTGTGGTGGAGGTCATTGACTTCATCATGGAACATCGTCGTCTTCATCAATCACCACCATCGTCTTCATCAATCATCATCCTCCTCATCCTCTTCATCATCATCGTCTTCATCATCCTCATGCTCATCGTCTTCATCAATCATCATCATCATCGTCTTCATCATCATCGTCTTCATCATCATCATCATCGTCTTCATCAATCATCATCTTCATCATTATCGTCTTCATCATCATCATCGTCTTCATCATCATCATCGTCTTCATCATCATCATCGTCTTCATCATCATCGTCTATCATCATCATCATCGTCTTCATCAATCATCATCATCATCGTCTTCATAAATCATCATCATCATCGTCTTCATCAATCATCATCATCATCGTCTTCATCAATCATCATCATGCTCATCGTCTTCATCAATCATCATCATGCTCATCGTCTTCATCAATCATCATCGTCGTCGTCCGCATCACCGTCTGTATGTATGTTTGTATGTTGAACTTCTTTCGCACTCTACGTAGTCAATCATGCTAATCGGAGATATTGTGGGCGCGCCGCGGTAGGCTAGGAGATGTTGACGACCTCGCCTGATATGCATGAGGTCGTGGATTCGATACCGATCCTGACGCCTGCTGTGTGTTTAGAGTCTGCATGTCTCTCTCTCATCATCATCACAGTGTCTAGGGGATGTTAACCACATACTCTTTGGTGTTTTCGGTAAAGTCACGTAGGTGAAAACAAATAAATAAAAATAAAACAACTAAATTCAATAACGACGTTCGGAAGCAACACAAGCATGCGTCATCAGGTGTGACTGCTCCAGCAAAATTACTGTAGCGTCTGAAGAGAGATTTTTAGAGACACGTGTTTATATAGGGGGCTGGGGGGGGAGGGGCCAAGGGGTCGGGGGGGGGCATGTGGCAGGCCGTGTGGCGTCGCGGGCGGTTGGGCAGGGGATTAGCTGAGTTAAGCCGATAGATAAACATCTTTTTTCTTTGTGATGCCAGGGTATGGGAGGGTGAGTGTGAGTATTATGACTGTACGACTAAAGTTTTAATTTAGTTGTTTTATTTGTATTTTATTTTGTTTTCATCTACGTGACTGTACCGGAAAAAAACAAAGAGTATGGATCCTTGCAGTCACCAAAACTTCAAATCTAGATGTTAACTACCTCGCCTGGTATACAGGAGGGCGTGGGTTCGATCTCGACCCTGACGCCTGCTGCTGTATATTTTGAGTTTGCGTCTCTCTCATCATCATCATCATCACAATGGCTAGGATATGTTAACTACCTCGCCTGGTATACAGGAGATTGTGGGTTCGATCCTGACCCTGACGCCTGCTGCTGTATATTTGTAGTTTGTGTCTCTCTCTCATCATCATCATCACGGTGGCTAGGAGATGTCAACTACCTCGCCTGGTCTACAGGTGGTCGTGGGTTCTACCCCGACCCTGACGCCTGCTGCTGCTGCTACTGCTGCTGCTGCTACTGCTGCTGCTACCGCTGCTACTGCTGCTGCTGCTCCTGCTGCTGCTGCTACTGCTGCTACTACTGCTGCTGCTGCTGCTCCTGCTGCTGCTACTGCTGCTACTGCTGCTGCTACTGCTGCTATTGCTGCTGCTGCTCCTGCTGCTACTGTTGCTGCTACTGCTGCTGCTACTGCTGCTCCTGCTCCTGCTGCTCCTACTGCTACTGCTGCTGCTACTGCTGCTCCTGCTGCTGCTGCTGCTCCTACTGCTACTGCTGCTCCTGCTGCTGGTGCTGCTCCTACTGCTACTGCTGCTGCTACTGCTGCTACTGCTGCTACTGCTGCTGCTGCTGCTCCTGCTACTGCTCCTGCTGCTGCTACTGCTGCTGCTACTGCTGCTACTGCTGCTACTGCTGCTGCTGCTACTGCTGCTACTGCTGCTCCTACTGCTACTGCTGCTCCTGCTGCTGCTGCTACTGCTGCTCCTGCTACTGCTCCTGCTGCTGCTGCTACTGCTGCTACTGCTGCTACTATTGCTGCTGCTGCTACTGCTGCTGCTACTACTGCTGCTGCTGCTACTGCTGCTGCATGTTTGGAGACTCGGGCTTGTTCGGAGACGCCTGCGGCGCCCCTCGGAACCATTTAAGCCTTTGGCGAGGAAAGTTACAAAAAAGATTGCACACGAACGACGCATTCACGCAAGCACCCGATGTTCCATTTAGAAGTTTTAAAATTAATGTTTTAAATTAGATACTTTAATTTCTTCATTAAAAGCTTATTTAATTTTACATCGGGAAAACTTAATTGAAAAGGACATTTCGTGTGAATTTTCTCTCGTCGTTAAGTAGATGGCCTTGCTGGGGGTTCGGTTCGATGCGGACTTTCACCTGGTTGGCATTGCGGGATCGAGATAAGGCGACGTAGATCTGCTGGCCGTGCGAGAAGACCGCCGTCTGCAGATCGATTCCAACGTAATCGAACGTCTGTCCCTGCGCCTCCGTCATTCATGCAGGGGGCGCGTAGGTTTGCAGCGCCCCCTGCATGAAAACGACGGGAAGTGCAGCGTTCATCACAGATAGATAAAGTTGTGCGCTTATATAAGAGTATTTATATTGTATTTTATTATATTATGTATTATGTGATAGCGTGTACGGGGATAATAGGAAATTGTCGTTGTAGCAAAACATCGCAAAACAAATGGCAAAGTCGTGTCGGTAGGGGCCTTGTCGGTTCTGCGAATCAACACCGAATCGCCTCGTTCTCTCATCATAGATAGATAAAGTTGCGCGCTTATATTTGGAGATTGCGTCTCTCTTGCTCTCTCTCTCCATGGTCGCTTGGATTGTTCTCAAGTTCCTCCAGTTATTGTATCCACATGTAGAATCAACGCTTGTTGATAATATTTGGCTGCTATAGATTTCCACGTGATGATGATGATAAGCCCCCAATTCGTTGAGCTATCATATGTGGCCAAGTTGCTTCTGAAAAAGAATTACAAAGCTCAGTGGAGCCTTGCCTGGCAAAATTAAAAATAGCTTAGTTTAGTTTTTGTACATCTTCACAATAGCATCACGTGTGTCATCATTATCGTCAGTATCGCCGGTGTAATCATCGCTATCTTCATCTGTGTAATCATTGGTATCATCATTACTGTATAAGCATCATCTGTGTGATCATCAGTAGCATCATCCGTATCATCATAATCAGCATCTGTATAATCAGTAGTAGCATAAGAATATTTAATAATCTGTATCTTCTTCATCGTCATCATCATCTGTATAATCAGTATCGTCAGCTCTAACACATTCCTGCGGAGGGAGCTGGTAGGAACGTTGGGTTGCTCGGTCAATGGCCTGCAGGGTCAACAGCGGCGTGGTGTATTCCGCAATATGCCCGACTGTGAGGGCGGGCACAAGCCGGCGTGAGTAGGTTAAACGTTGAGTTGTATAAGGGCACCACGGGGTGACCAGCCCCTCCCCACCCAGCCCCACCCCTCCCACCCCCACCCAGCCCCACCCAGCCCCTCCCCACCCTCCCCTCTCCACCCAGCCCCACCCCTCCAATTTTTGGATGCACGACGGACGGACGAACACAATAATCCCCTGCGGGCTGGTGTAACCAGGAGGTTCCTACCAATTAAAGTATCTATTAGTCTGCCATCACGATCCCTCCCACCACTCTCCTCTCTCATCTCTCCGCCGTCTCTATATTTCTCCCACCTCTCCCCTTCATCTCCTGTTTCTCGCTGTCCCATCTCTCTCCCCTCCCTCTCTCTCCCATCTATCAGTCTCCAATCATTATTTATCCCTCACTCATCTCTCTCCCCATCTCGTTCTCCCCCTCCCCCCGTCTCGTTCTCGCCACTCTCTCTCTGGCTGTCCCATCTCTCCCTCCCTCTCTCTCCCATCTCTCCCCCCCCCCCCTCTCTCTTTATACCCACCCCCTCCTCGCTCTCCGTAAGATCAGAGGAAACAAGAAGATGCTCGGTGTAGTCGGCACTTTGCTTCATTCATCATTTCGTTTTTTTATGCTTTGCTTTATGTAACCTCCCCCCTCCTCTTTTAAATGAAATATTTCACAAAACATTTCACGCTCTGCTCTCCTTACCCCCCTCTCTCTCTACCCCCTCTCCTCGAGAGGATATTAAGTAATCTGCCCGTATATGGTTTGATTTCAAACTAAACGGTAGAGATGATCTCATCTGGTGTCTGACGTAAGCAATGAATGTTACATCATCCAAACAAAGCCCCATACATGGTGGTGGTCCCCATGCTCACTGGGTGACCGGTGAGGGCGCAGCCCCGCAATTGCTGGGCCCACGCCACTGCTGTCAGAAGGAAGAGGGCAGCTCCGGAGAGACCCTGTGGAGAGGAGTTTCGCCCAACGTTGCCCGGATGTAAAACTAAGATTTTTAAATGTATGTTTTACCAGTTGTAAGGCCCTACTGAGCTGTGTAGCTGTTCTTCAGAAGATACACAGGCTAGATCACAAAGTATTGCAGCTCAACAAAGTGGGCTTACCATCATCATGACCACCACCACGTGGGAATTTATAGCAGCAGCAGCAGCCAAAATACTCTAGACGCAGTGACGTTGACTCGAGATGCGGAGGGGGAAAACCGGAGGACCCGGAGAAAAATCCACGCGGCCACGGGGATAGAGAGAGACGCAGACTCCAAATATACAGCAGCAGGCGTCAGGGTCGGGATCGAACCCACGATCTCCTGTGTACCAGGCGAGGTAGTTAACATCTCCTAGCCACCGTGATGATGAGAGAGAGAGACGCAGACTCCAAATATACAGCAGCAGGCGTCAGGGTCGGGATCGAACCCACGACCTCCTGTATACCAGGCGAGGTAGTTAACATCTCCTAGCCACCGTGATGATGATGAGAGAGAGAGACGCAGACTCCAAATATACAGCAGCAGGCGTCAGGGTCGGGATCGAACCCACGACCTCCTGTATACCAGGCGAGGTAGTCAACATCTCCTAGCCACCGTAACCTCTTGGAAGAGATTATCCGCACTTTACCTCAGCGCATACACCGTATAGCAAACCAATAGCACCACATTTCACATGCAAATGTATGTAGTGTGTTTTATACAGAGGCTCACACAATGTAGTTGGAGGCAATACTTTTAATAAACACAACCCTTACAACTCGGGTTCTATAGCTAGCTGTCTATCTGTTCGCTATGTACGTGCGCGTTAGTGTAGCGAACGGGCCAGCCGGCACGCAGCTGCCTGACACACGATGTCAGGCGACACTCAACCCACGAACGAGGAGCGACGAGCGAAGACGAAGAGACGCGGGACTCCAGGCCGATCCCCACAACGGACCCCGATCCCAGTCAGGGCTCCCCCTTCATTCCCTGGACGTGGGCTCGCCCCTCCCCCCGCCCCCTGATGCATCAAGTTCGGAGCCCCCGGCTCCCAGTCACGTGTCCCGGGCTCCCAGTCACGTGTCCCCGGCTCCCAGTCACGTGTCCCTCCATTACCCGGCGCTCAGCAGCACGTGTGAAATCGCGGCTGGCGCTGACTATAGAGAGACAACATTTCATGTCACTACAGATATGTAGTGATGTGTAGTGATGTGTAGTGGTGTGTAGTGATGTGTAGTGATGTGTAGTGACATCGGGGATGTCACTGTGTGATGTTCCTACGTCGCGGGCAGCACTGGGTGGGTTGCTGCGTGAGGCCGGCTCTAGCGCGGCGTGCGACGCGCCGTCATCGCGTGCACCCCGTAGGCGGGTGTCGTGCCGGCCCTAGTGGGGCTTGGTGAGCGCTGGGAAAGCGCGGGCACCACGCACGGCGTGCGGTGCGGGCTCCCACCGGGGGAGCGGGAGAGTGTCAGCCAGAGGTGGGACAAAGTCATTGTTATGCAAGTCCAAGTCGAGTCTGAAGTCATCAAATTCATGACTCGAGTCTGACTCGAGTCCAAGTCACATGACTCGAGTCCACACCTCTGGTGTCAGCCCAGGGGCAGGGCTGCCCCGGGCCATGGCACTCTGGTCGACCCCGTAGACACGTGATCTGGAGTGTCCACAGAGAAGGCCCCAGGTGGGGGGGGGGGGGGCTAGGGGTTGATCACGTGTCCAGGGAGAGCTCTGGAGGGGGATCGAGAGGAAGCTGGAAGGCTCGAGAAGGTGGGCGGGGCCGAGGGCGGAGTAGCCCCGACCAGGAGGATAAAAGGCGGGTCCCTGAGAGGGACGGGGTCGCCGCATTCTACAAGTTGAAGCTCCACGTCCACCAGCTGCAGCTCCACGTCTACAAGCTGCAGCTCCACGTCCACCAGCTGCAGCTCCACGTCTACCAGCTGAAGCTCCACGTCCACCAGCTGCAGCTCCACGTCTACAAGCTGGAAGCTCCACGTCTACAAGTTGCAGCTCCACGTCTACAAGCTGGAAGCTCCACGTCCACCAGCTGCAGCTCAACACCTACAAGCTGGAAGCTCCACGTCTACAAGCTGGAAGCTCCACGTCCTACGAGGCATCAACACGTGGTGGGGGACCCGAGTGAGGGTCTGACCCTTCGTAGCTGTAACCCCTCAGTATGGCGTAGTTAGCTGGGTGGTCACCACCCTGGGCTGTATCTGGTGAAGGGGCAGTTTCCCCTTTGTGTGAACGGGTTGATGTTACAATAAAAGTGTTGCCTCTAAAGTTGGACTCACTACAGATAGAGACTTCAATAAGTAACTTCTCCATTCAGCCAATAGAGACACCCATAACTACACCTCCCCCCTTCTCTCTCTTTCCTCTCTCCCTTTTAGGTGAAGTATGGCAAGACGCCCGGCTGGCCTGGTGATGACGATGCTGCTGATGATGCTGATGATTGTGAACCAGACGGGAGACTCAGCAGCCATTCCTGGAGCTGAGCGGTAACGTGCGAACACAACAAAGATAAAGATCCCCCGTGTAGCCTCAACAGACTATTGGGGCAAGTGCTATTAGCGAGAATCAGTACCTATGAAAGCCAGACAAAGATCCCCCCGTGTAGCCTGAACAAACTGTTGGGGTAAGTGCTGCTAGCGAGGAGCAGCACCTATGAAGGGCGGCACTGCAACACACGGAGGTGGGCGGCACTGCAACACACGGAGGTGGGTGGCCAACACTACGCCCGGCCGCCTTTGTCTCCCCAGTGGCGACGTTTTACACACCGCACAGGGTACTTATTCGAGGCTGAGTCGACCTATGGGAGGTCCAAAACCGGTTCAGATATTCGTCACTGATGTTGGCCGTGAACGGGAATTTAACTCGTGTCACTGGATTCTAAGCGCAGCGCGCTAACCATTGCGCCACCCCTCCCACGAACACACAAAGACAACGATCCCCGTATAGCCTTAGATAGAATGTTTGGGGCAAGTGCTGTTAGCGAGCACCTCCGCGCCGGAGCACGGCACGGCACACGAGGGGGGATGGGTGGCCATCACCACGCCCGGCCGCCTTTGTCTCCCCAGTGGCGATGTTTGCACACAACACCTGGTACTCAATTGAGGCTGAGTCGACCTAGGGGAGGCGCAAGACTGGTTCAGATAATCGTCACCGGTGTTGGTGGCCGTGAGTGGGAATCGAACTTCTGGTCGCCGGGTTCGTAGTGCAGCGTGGCGCTCACAAAGATCGCCCGTGGGGCCTCCACCGGACTGCTGGGGCAAGCGCTGGGAGCGAGTGACGCTCGCGAAGTTCTCAGTGTTTGCGCCATTCGTCATTGTCACGAGCATGCAGGCCATTGTGTGCCGGCATTGAGGTCCCAAATTTGTCATCATTGTGGGGTTTTTTTTTTAAATGACACCGACATTTCACTCAGTTGGGGATTGTGCCACACGCAGGGCAGCATTTCAAGGCCGCCCTCAGTCACTCTGGTGAACGGGACTCGACCCTGCTCTCTTGAATTCTCACAACCGGTTAAACAAAATAAACGTTAACTCATTCAATCATCGCCGCACTCAATCATTTACCCACCCAGCCACTCATTCACTCACCCACCATCTCACTCAACTCATTCACCGAACCACCCACCGTTTATCTCGCCCACTAACTCATCCACCCACAAACTCATTCTCCCACCGACCATATTTCTCACCCACTTACTCACCACCTACCCACTCATTCACTCCCCCACCATCTCACTCACCCACCATCTCGCTCAACTCATTCACCCAACACCATCTCACCCACCCACCCACTCATTCAGTCGCCCACCATCTCACTCAGCCATTGACTCACTCACCCACCATCTCTCTCACCCACCATCTCTCTCACCCACCCATTCATTCACTCACCCACCATCTCTCTCACCCACTAACTCACCCACCCACTCTGTCTACCACCCACTCATTCACCCACCATCTCACTCAGCCACCATCTCACTCACCCACTAACTCACCCACCCACCCACTCATTCACTCACCCACCATCTCTATCACCCACCCACTCATTCACCCACCCACCATCTCACTCAGCCATCATCTCACTCACCCACTAACTCACCCACCAACCCACGCATTCACTAACCCACCATCTCTATCACCCACCCACTCATTCACCCACCCACCATCTCACTCACTCACCCACTAACTCACCCACCAACCCACGCATTCACTAACCCACCATCTCTATCACCCACCCACTAACTCACCCACCCACCATCTCACTCACTCACCCACTAACTCACCCACCCACCCATTCATTCACTCACTCTTGCATGTGAGACGATCCTGGTACCTTGATTTCTCTCCCACGCATCTGTGTGCGACTGTTGTTGTGGTTGTTGTTGATGTTTTCTTGTGGTTGTTGATGTTTTCTCGTGGTTGTTGTTGATGTATATTTGTGGTTGTGGTTGAGGTTGTTGTGGTTGATGTTGTGGTTGTTGTTGTTGTTCAGGCCAGTGGTTGATGTGGTTGTTGTGGTTGATGTTGTGGTTGTTGTTGTTGTTCAGGCCACAGAGACACGTGGACGGGATGTTCACGAGCGAGCTGAGCCGCCTGCAGAGCGCTCGACTCGTCCAGAGATACGCGATGGACATCATGAGGATGAGACCCGAGTGAGACTCCCCTCCCTGGTCAAGGCTCACACACTCACACACACACACAGCTCACACACTCACACACTCACTCACACACTCACTCACTCACAGCTCACACACTTACTCACTCACACACACACTCACTCACACACTCACACACACACTCACTCACAGCTCACACACTCACTCACTCACACTCACTCACTCACACTCACTCACACACTCACACACTCACTCACACACTCACTCACACACTCACACACACTCACTCACAGCTCACACACTCACTCACACTCACTCACTCACACTCACTCACACACTCACAGCTCACACACACTCACTCACACACTCACACACTCTCACACACACTCACTCACACTCACACACTCACACACTCACTCACACACTCACTCACTCACACACTCACACACTCACTCACTCACACACTCTCACACACACTCACACACTCACTCACACTCACACACTCACTCACACACTCACAGCTCACACACACTCTACTAACACACTCACACTCACTCACACACACACTCACAGCTCACTCACTCACTCACACTCACAGCTCACACACACTCTACTAACACACTCACACTCACTCATAGCTCACACACTCACTAACACACTCACTCACACACTCACACACACTCACTCACACACTCACACACACACACTCACTCACACTCACTCACTCACACACTCACTCACAGCTCACACACACTCTACTAACACACTCACACTCACTCACACACACACTCACTCACTCACACTCACTCACACACGCACAGCTCACACACTCACTCACACTCACTCTACTAACACTCACACACTCACAGCTCACACACACACTCACACGCACAGCTCACACACTCACTCACACACTCACAGCTCACACACACTCTACTAACACACTCACACTCACTCACACACACACTCACTCACACACGCACAGCTCACACACTCACTCACACTCACTCACACACACTCTACTAACACACTCACACACTCACTCACTCACAAACTCACACACTCACACACTCACTCACACTCTCACACACTCACACACTCACAGCTCACACACACTCTACTAACACACTCACACTCACTCACTCACACACACACTCACTCACACTCACTCACTCACTCACACACACTCACTCACACACTCACTCACACACTCACACTCACACACTCACTCACACACTCACAGCTCACACACTCACAGCTCACACACTCACAGCTCACACACTCACTCACACACTCTCACACTCACTCACTCACACACTCACACAACTCACACACTCACACAACTCACACACTCACTCACACACTCACACACACACTCACAGCTCACACACTCTACTAACACACTCACACACACTCACTCACACACTCACACAACTCACACACTCACTCACACTCACTCACACACTCACACACACTCACTCACACACACTCTACTAACACACTCACACACTCACTCACACACTTACACACTCATAGCTCACACTCACTCACACACTCACAGCTCACACACTCACTCACACAACTCACACACTCACTCACACACACACTCACTCACACACTCACAGCTCACACACACTCTACTAACACACTCACACACACTCACTCACACTCACTCACACACGCACAGCTCACACACTCACTCACACTCACTCACTCTACTAATACACTCACACACTCACAGCTCACACACTCACTCACTCACACTCACTCACACACTCATAGCTCACACACTCTACTAATACACTCACACACTCACAGCTCACACTCACACATTTACACACTCACACACTCACTCACACACTCACAGCTCACACACTCACTCACACACTTACACACTCACAGCACACACACTCACACGCTCACACACTCAAAGCTCACACACTCACTCACACACTCACTCACTCACACACTCACTCACACTCACACACACACTCACAGCTCACTCACACATTCAATCACACACTCACAGCTCACTCACACTCACTCACACACACACACTCACTCGCTCACTCACAACTCACACAGCTCACTCACACACTCACTCACTCACACACTCACAGCTCACTCACACTCACTCACACACTCACATGCTCACACACACACTCACACACTCACACACTTACACACTCACACACACACTCACAGCTCACACACTCACACACTCACTTACACACTCACACACAAACACTCACACACACACTTGAAGTACCGGTGAGGACGCTTGACGCCGAGGTTGAGGCACACGTATATTTATTCACAATACGACAGTGGGCATATACACACTCGAGGGGGTATCGGCCCCCTCACCCGTATAACTCGGGATACACCCCTAGCTAACTCTGTCCTAGCCCCGAATCCTCCACTAATGGGCTAGGGGAGGCTAACTGGCCCGACACTGGTAAGTCGGGCCCGGTACCCGGAGTTCCAGACCAGCTCTTACAAGAGCACCGGCTCTGGCTTTCGGGACCACGCCGCTGGCTCAGTCCTGTCCGGCCCTGAAAAGGACATCGAACCAGGGGAGTCCAGGGCTCTATCTAAGACGTCTTCAGTCTTCTTCCCTTAGCTTAAACATAACTAACTTGAGCCCTTTGAACATCCCCTTTTATACCCAACCCCTCCCTGAGGGGTGGGGCCCCGGGGGATCATAACGTTCGAACCAGCCCCCCCCAGGGTGTCTGGCTCGGACGTCGTAGAGGGCACCTCCTCGTGCACTTACGTAGCCCCGCCCACTGTGTTTGTTTTCCATAGGCTGCCATGCATAACGGACCCTCTCTTTAACACCCCTACACACTCACTCACACACACACTAACTCACACACTCACACACACACTCACAGCTCACACACTCACTCACACACACTCACACACACTCACAGCTCACACACACACACATTCACTCACTCACACACACTCTACTAACACACTCACACGGTCATACACTCACACACTCACTCACTCACATCTCACACACTCACACTCACATCTCACACACTCACACACTCATATCTCACACACTCACAGCTCACACATTCACAGCTCACACACTCACACACTCACAGCTCACACACACACACTCACAGCTCACTCACTCACACACTCACTCACACGCTCACACACACACACACTCCCAGCTCACACACTTACACATTCACACACTCACACAACAACAACAACCGTCATTCGCCACTAAGTGGCGGTGACGTCACCACGATGCTTGTGCCAGGCCAAGTGCACCTTGAGGCCACGTGAAGTGTCGAACGCCCGCTGGCAGGAGGTCACGGGGCAGACCCAGCAGGTGCCACGGGTCGACTGACTGAGATGACTGGTTGATGCACCACCTGTGCCCCCTACTGTGCCAACTTGCTGTGCTTTAGCCACCCGGCGCTCCGCTCGTTGTTGTGAGCCTCGCTCCTCCGCCCTCCATTGTTGTTGGAGGGCGACTGCCTCCAACTGCCCAGTAGCGTCCTTCACGAACCTCCTCCACTGAGGCCGATCTTGACACCGCTGGTACCAGTCATCGGCAAGTCCACTCAACTCCACGTCCTCCTGTACCACATTACTCCATCTTTTTCTCTAGCCCGTGCCGCGCCCGTTTAGCCCCCTCAATCCGGCCAAACAAAAGCTGTTTAGGCATGCGGTGGCTGGGCATGCGGGCTACATGACCCAGCCAACGCAGCCTTGCCTGCCGGAGGAGCTCACCGATGGGACTTTGCCCAGATCTTTCAAGGATCTGTGAGCTCTTCACACAATCCAGCCTGGTCAAACCCATGATGGATCTTAGGCAGGCCAGCCTAAATGTTTCCAACCGGCGAACATGCTCCATTAGGCGGGTCCACATTTCGCAAGCGTAGAGAAGGGAGGGAATGACCGTGGCCGAGAAGACCTGAAGCTTCGTGCGGCGAGATAGACCAGGTAGCTTCCACACAGCGTTACACAACCGATGAAAAGATATTGCCGCTCGACTGATTCGGAGTGAGACCTCTGCTGATAAACTGGAGCCGGTCATAAGCACACTGCCCAGGTATGGGAAACTCTCCACTCTCTCCACAACTGCCCCATCACCGATTGGGAGTTGTGGGGGTGGAGTGTCCGATGGTACAAAATACCCAGGCAGGTGCTTAATTTGGTAGGGCTGATGATAAGGCCCCACCTCTTATTGGCACGCTCCAGTCTCAGCAGCAGCGTCTCCAACTCCTCTTCTGAATGAGCAGCTATTACCAAATCATCGGCATACATAACGTGGTTGACCAATAGGGAGCCATCCCTTGATCACACCCGGGCGTCGATCAGCCTCCCATTATATCTGTACCAAATGGAAATTCCCCCAGTACAGCTATTGAAGGCTTCACGAACTACGCAGTCGAAAGAGATGTAAAATAATGTGGGAGCCAGAGGACATCCCTGTCGCACCCCAAGGTGTACAGGGAAAGGCTCCGACTCCCGGCCACGTAGTTTTACCCGGGCCCGCTCACCATCATGAAGGTCCTTAATGATCGTGAGCAGAGGGTCAGGGACTCCGAAAGCACGAAGAACAACCCAGAGCCTAGGCCTACTGATGGTATCATAGGCCTTGACCAGGTCAATAAAGCAGAGATGTAGGTCTTGTTGGAATTCCCTACACCTCTGCTGTAGCAGACGGACAGAAAATATGGCATCTGTGCAGGACCGCCCTTTCCTGAAACCGCATTCGGGTTCCGCAAGCCTCTCCTCAGCGTGCCTAGCAAGGCGATGTTGAATAATCCTTGCCAGGATCTTTCCCGGCACACTGAGGAGTGAGATGCCCCTGTAGTTGTTACAGTCTGTGCGGTCCCCCTTCTTAAAGAGGGGGACCACCAGGGCATCCTTCCAATCCTGCGGTACCCCTCCAGTGGTCCAGACTGTTGTTATGATGTAATATAGGGCAGTCTGTGCACAAACGCCACCCTCCCTCAGCATTTCGCTTGGGAGATCATCTCTGCCCGGTGCCTTTCCTGGTCTCAGACTCCGGATCGCCTTCAGTACTTCCTCAACAGATGGCACCTCAGCCAGTCACTCACAGGGGGTGACCTCTTCTAATATTTCAGGCACCGCAGCCTCAGCAGGGTTATCCCCACTTTGTGCCATGATGTTTTCCTGGCTGAGAGATTTTCCCTCCCCCAGGACCTCACAGAAATGCTCAGCAAATCTGCAAACCTGTTCCTGGGGGTCGGAGATTGGATCACCGTTTTTTCCCCTAATGATGGTAATAGGTGTGGCGCTGCAGGTTACTTTTTTGATGGAGTTAAATAGTGATTTGTGATCGCTGGCCACTGAGGCAGACTCCATCTCTTTAGCAACCCGCGACCACCACCCATCCTTGTAGCGCCTTACGGCTCTCCGAACCTCTGAGCGACGGCTGCGGTAAACCTCCTCATTCTCTGACGTGGAATGCTGTAGCCGATGAGAGTGGGCTTGTCGCTTTTTCTCAATAAACCTGAACACCTCCTCTGTCAGCAAGGGTTTCTGGGGAGGTCTGGACCGCGTACCCAAAGCAGCCATTGCAGCTGCATGAGTCACAGTCTTAAACCTACCCTCGACATCAGGTGGAGTGGGGGACAATGCCAACCCCAGCTGCAAGCGATGATGAAATTCTCACTTGCAACTTTCATCAGCTAACTGAGACCAGGCCACTTTTGGTTGGAATGGGGTCCTGGGTGTACACCCACCACCGGAGTGGAAGAATGGCAGGCGCATCTTACAGATGACTAGTCGATGGTCAGAGGGCAGATCAGCTCCACGGTAGGTCCTGGTGTCAAGGACATGGGCTCGCATCCGCTGGTCCGTCACTATGTAGTCCAGCAGATGTTCTTGCTTGGACCCGGCATGCATCCATGATGTTGTGTGGATGCGCCGATGCCGGAAGAGCGTGTTGGTAATTACAAGCCCATGGGCTGCTCAAAAATCTAGCAGCCTCCTACCGTTGGTATTGAGCTGATCTGGCCCATGCCTTCCAATCACTCCAGACCAGGTGCCAGCATCATGACCAACTCGGGCATTGAAGTCACCCAACAAGATGACTCTGTCCCGAGTGGCCACTTTAGCCAGCACCTGTGACAGGAGGTCATAGAAGGCATCTGACTCATCGGCTTTGCCTGCATCCCTCCACAGATGTTCTTCTTTGGTGGGGGCATAAGCAACCACGACCACCACTCCTCGCCTCCGGTTGATGGGAAGGCGAGCCCAAAGTATCCTGGGGCCTACAACTTCCCACACCTCACCGCCACGCTCCCACGCCCCCTTCATTCTTTTGTTCAGAAGACGAGCCACACCCTGTTGTTTGGCAGTCTCCTGCCCCGAGTGGAGGACTGTCCACCCCTCATGGTGGCAGGAACCAGAACCGGTCCACCGGACCTCCTGAATGCCACAGAGATCCAGGCGGTACCGGTCCAGCTCCCGACAAAGGAGCCTCTCCTCCGCAGTGAGCGTTCGAACATTCCACGTGGCCATCCGCAATGGTTTTTCGTTGTTTCTGGAGGAGCCCCGAGGGTGAAGATTCAATCTCCTGGCTCCGCCAAATGGGGTTTGGCCAGGAGACGTCATAAAAGCCTGACCTTCCGGGGCCTCCGGCACAAGCTTATTAGTTACAGGTTTATGTTTAATTCGTGGTTTCGTGGTAATTAATTGAAGGTGGAGGGGTTACCAGCCCCTCGCACCCGTCCAGAGCCCCCGTTTAGCCACTGTGGTGGACACAGACGCCATGAGGGGAAAGGCCAATGGGCATTGGCCCTCCCCCCACAGCACTGCCCACGACAGTGTTGCCCGTCCGGCACCGCAAGGAGGTAGGAGGTTGTTTTGCCGCACACACACTCACACACTCACTCACACACTCACATCTCACACACTCACATCTCACACACTCACTCACACACTCACAGCTCACACACTCACATCTCACACTCACAGCTCACACACTCACAGCTCACACACTCACAGCTCACTCACTCACACACTCACTCACACACTCACACACACTCACTCACACACTCACAGCTCACACACTCACATCTCACACACTCACATCTCACACACTCACACACACACTCACACACTCACATCTCACACACTCACACACACACTCACACACTTACATCTCACACTCACACACTCACACACTCACATCTCACACACACTCACACACACTCACAGCTCACACACTCACAGCTCACACACTCAATCACTCGCAGCTCACGCACTCCTCCTCCGTCTCTCTGCTGTGTGTTTTCCTCCACACAGAAAGGGCATGGACGATGATGAGGATGAGGAGGAGCCTCTGGGCCACGCGGCACGAAGAGGGGAAGGGGGGGGCTGGAAGGGTGGGGGCCAGGTGCCCCCACGGACAGACGTGGTACTCAACGATGAGCCCAGCCGAGACGGGTAAGCGGACAAAGATCCCCCGTGTAGCCTTAGGGACCGTCCATAAATGACGTCACGCACTTAGGGAGGGGGGGGGGTCAGGCATTTGTGACGATGTGTGACGAGGGAGGGGGTGGGTTTGAGAAATGTGACGTCACATTGAAAATGCGCAACTTTGAATGTGTTCTCCGACAACATCAGAGTGCAGCGCCACATTAGAGACGCACTACAATGACGAGAGTTTACAGCGATTTGAAGCAGTTTTATATTTTGGGGGGCGGGGGGGGGAAGAGCTTTGTGACGTCATATTTGAGAGGGGGGGGGGGCCTGACTTTTTGTGACGCCGTGTGACGAGGGGGGGGGGGGTCAAAAATCGCGTGACGTCATTTATGGACGGCCCCTTACAAGACTGTAGGGGCGAGTGCTGTTAGCGAGCAGCAGCACCGATGAAGGCCGGAACGCCACACGAGGGGAGGGGGGGGCAGCACCACGCCCGGCCGCCTTTGTCTTCCCGGTAGCGATGTTTACTACACACACCGCACCGGGTACTCATTTGAGGCCGAGTCGACCTAGGGGAAGAGGCCCAGGGACCGGTTCAGAGAATCGTCACCAGTTGTTGCTGACCGTGAGGCGTGAATGGAGCCTCGGTCATGGACGGGTGCTGTGCGCAGCGGCGCGCTAACCACTGCACCACCACTCCACTTAGACCCCCACCGCCCCCCCCCCCCCCCACCGTGTCCCCCCCCACCGTGTCCCCCCCCACCGTGTCCCCCCCCCACCGTGTCCCCCCCACCGTGTCCCCCCCCCCCCCACCGTGTCCCCCCCCACCGTGTCCCCCCCCCCACCGTGTCCCCCCCACCGTGTCCCCCCCCCCACCGTGTCCCCCCCCCCCCACCGTATCCCCCCCCCACCGTGTCCCCCCCCCCCACCGTATCCCCCCCCCCCCACCGTGTCCCCACCCCCACCGTGTCCCCCCCCCACCGTGTCCCCCCCCCCCACCGTCCCCCCCCCCACCGTGTCCCCCCCCCCCACCGTCCCCCCCCCCCACCGTGTCCCCCCCCCCCCACCGTGTCCCCCCCCCCCACCGTCCCCCCCCCCCACCGTGACCCCCCCCCCACCGTGTCCCCCCCCCCCCACCGTGTCCCCCCCCCATCGTGTCCCCCCCCCCCCACCGTGTCCCCCCCCTCCACCGTATCCCCCCCCCCCACCGTGTCCCCCCCCCACCATGTCCCCCCCCCCACCGTGTCCCCCACCGTGTCCCCCCCCCACCATGTCCCCCCCCCCCCACCGTGTCCCCCCCCCCACCGTGTCCCCCCCCCCCACCGTGTCCCCCCCCCCCACCGTGTCCCCCCCCCCACCGTGCCCCCCCCCCACAGGGATTTTGTGGCGGTATTTGCCGACGGCTTGTCCCGCCAGGTGCTCGCCTCGCTCGAGGGGCGCCACGCGGGAGGCGGCGAGCCGCTCCGCGGGGCCCGTGAGGCTGCGGCGCCCGGGGCAGCCTCCCCCGCCGCGCGGGGCCACGTGTAGAGCCCCAAGCAAGAGAAACAGTCACCGCAGCTTCCGCTTGCAACTTAACCACCACCACCAATCACCACCACCAACCACCACCACCACCAACCACCACCAACCACCACCACCAACCACCACCACCAACCACCACCACCAACCACCACCACCAACCACCACAACCACCAACCACCACCACCACCAACCACCACCACCACCAACCACCACAACCAATCACCAATCACCAACCACCACCACCAACCACAACCAAATACCACCACCAACCACCACCAATCACCAACCACCAATCACCAATCACCACCAACCACCAATCACAAACCACCACCAATCACCAACCACCACCAACCACCACCAAATACCACCACCAACCAACACCAATCACCACCAACCACCACCACCAATCACAAACCACCACCAATCACACACCACCACCAATCACCAACCACCAATCACCACCACCACCAGCCACCACCACCACCACCAACTACCACCAATCACCACCAGCCACCACCACCACCACCAACTACCACCAATCACCACCACCACCAGCCACCACCACCACCAACTACCACCAATCACCACCACCACCAGCCACCACCACCACCACCAACTACCACCAATCACCACCACCACCAGCCACCACCACCACCACCAACTACCACCAATCACCACCACCACCAACCACCACCACCACCACTACCACCAACCACCACCACCACCACCAACTACCACCAATCACCACCACCACCAGCCACCACCACCACCACCAACTACCACCAATCACCACCACCACCAACCACCACCACCACTACCACCAACCACCACCACCACCAACCACCACCAACTACCACCAATCACCACCACCACCAACCACCACCATCAAAAGTTTTGTCACAAAGGTCACGGATGTTACGGGGTGGGGGAGGAGGATGAGAGGGGTCGTCGTCAAGACGAATCGTTAATTCAAATTTAGTCTCCACTCTTGATGATGATTTACATTTTGGTGGAGGGGTGAAATTGCGTTAGGCGGAAAGTTTCGTGAGCATGGCGCTGTTGTTGGAGGCAGTGGCGGCACAGAGAGAGAGAGACTCGTGGTGAGCCAGGCGGCCGCGGCTCTCGCCCGGCAGGAGCTACACGGGTGACACGGCAACTTCGGTGAAATCGCCCTACACCGGTGGTCATCTTAAACATTGTTTATGTTTGATGTTCATAAACACACAGGGGGCTGATGAAATGACGTAATTTGAAACTGCACGTGCCCCTTGGTTAATTTGTGTTTTTTTATGATTTACCTTCTTATTCTATGGTTCTTTCGGTAAAGTCACGTAGATAGAAAAAATAATAATCATTAAATAATAGAATGAAGTGAATACAAATATCACGACGTTTCGATCGCAACACAAGTGGACGTCATCAGAAACAAGGAGGTTAGCCTCTGAGGGCAAGCTGAGTATGAAGGTTTAGAGATGGACCGCCTGTTAAGTGATTTGGTCGTTAAGCGAGGTAGAGGAAATGCACGGTTAAAAGCTTACTTCGTTGCGATAGCATCGAAAGTGACCCCTTTTCACCCAAAAAAACGTACTATATAATATTTACATTAATGGCTATCAATACATAATTATACTCACAACATTATTAATAGACACAATTATGTAGTGGTTAATCACTATTATAATAATAATAGGGTTTTCCCCCTTTTTTTCTGGCAGCAAAACTGAAACCTTTTGACAAGGATTCATGTCTGCATTAACCACAATACTTGCAGTCAAATGCAAATAAAACACACTATGATCTTCTTGGTTCTTTCGGTAAAGTCACGTAGAAGGGAAGTAATAAAATAATAAAAATAAAACATAATAAAATAAAATATTTTTATTAATTTAGTACTTCCCTTCTACGTGACTTTACCGAAAGAACCAAGAAGATGAATCCCTGCAGTCACGTAAGCTTTAAATCGAAACACACTATGATAATATATGCATTGTCCTTGAAACTGATTGGTCCACACCAAGGGACGGCTTTCCTTGGTGTGGACCAATCAGCTTCAAGGACAATGCATATATTATCATAGTGTGTTTTTGTTTGCATTTGACTGCAAGTATTGTGGTTAATGCAGACATGAATCCTTGTAAAAAGGTTTCAGTTTTGTTTCCAGAAAAAAAGGGGGAAAACCCTATTATTATATTTTGGTACTGGCAAAGGAGGTCTAATGATGGTTAACCACTGTATTAATTAATATTTACTGTACCTACGACAGCCCATTGTTAACAGGGGAATGGTCAGTAAGTTAACACATTGGGCTCTACAGAGGCCCGTCGTTAAGCGATTATTCGTTAACAGTGGTGTTCGGTAACAGGGGTTCTACTCTATACTACTTTACACTACAATACTATACACTACACTATACACTACACTAATATACACTACTATACACTACACTAATATACTACGTTATTATACACTCCTATACACTACAATACTATACACTATACTATACACTACACTATACACTACACTATACACTACACTATACACTACTATACACTACACTATACACTACACATTGGGCTCTATGGAATCCCATCGTTAAGCGTTAGTCGTTAACAGGGGTGTTCGTTAAAGGGGGTTCGACTGTATAGGCATAAATTATGTTTAGGTTAAGGAAATTTACTTTGTTAATGTACAAAACAAATGTGTCGTAAAGAATGCGTTCATCTTGTTTCATTACAAAAGTCCAAACACACTCATTCACCTAAAAAGGTGTGCAAAATGTGTATTTTCTGCTTTAAGGTTGCAACAACACGGCGCTTCCCTTTGTCTGCCATCGCACAGTTTCGTAAAGTTAAAAACCACAAAAAATAAACGATCGGAGGGATTGCTCAAAGTGAAGCACAGCCGACGATCTCGATTGTTACTCTTTCGATTCAGAACGGATACGAAATGATCGTCGACCGATCGACCGATCGATGATGATGCGCATCCTCAGTGATGATCATTATTAGAATAAACTATTTTTTTAATAATAAAAATGCTTTATTAGAATAAAATATTTTCTTGGCTCCCGCTCAGCAGAAGACTCTGGCTCCACTCAGTGGATGACAGCAGCAGAGCCACAGCCAATGAGACATCAATCAAACCCCACCCACTATTGTAAAGATACTGCAACCACTGTACTGTAGAGGCGATCACGTCGCATTAATTTGAGTACACACATATTTTGTTCGGTTTAAGCACGTGATTTGTCGTAAACATTTCCAAGACTAACAACGCATCACTGTTTTTAGATTCTTATTTTTGGTCTAAAGGGAAAATCTACGAGTTGTTAATTTATGTAAAATTTTTTGCGTGCGTGGTTAATCCACAAATCGTTAAATGGCGCACGCAGATAATCGAGTGTCAACTATACTTCAATTAGCTGCTTGCGTGAAATCGTTTTTCTTTTTTTTATAATTGTAGGCGTTTTGTCATTTAAAACTAAATTTAAAACGAATTTCATTTTACCAGATAAGGCCGCATTTATCTTTGTAGTTCTTTCGCAGAAGCGACTTGGCTATCACAAGTAATATCCCAATGAAGTGGCTTATCATCACGCGGAAATGTATAACAGCAGGCATAATACGCTAAACGCGTGATATTGATTCTAAATCTGGAGGGAAAAACCGGAGAAAAATCCACGCCACCACGGGGAGAGAAAGCGAGAAACACGCAAACTCCAAATACACAGCAGCAGGCATCGTCAGGGTCTGGATTGAACCCACGGCCTCCTGTATACCAGGCGAGGTAGTTAACATCTCCTAGCCACCGTGATGATGATGAGAGGGAGAGAGACATACAAACTCCAAATATACAGCAGCAGGAATTGCCATGGTCGGGATCGAACCCACGACCTCCTGTATATCAGGCGAGGGAGTTAACATCTCCCAGCCACCATGGCGTGCGCCGAGACCGGGTTTGTCATGATCATCGCGGTCTTGGGACATTTTAGTGGAATAATTTTCGTGACCGAACGTTGAACCTCTTTCTCATTAGGTAGATAGGTAACAGGCTTCTTGGCCAACACGTCCCAATACTGAAAACATGGAATCGCAAATAAATTTCATTTGGGATCACGCAAACTCGTTTCTTTAGAAGTGCTACATGTTGTTGTTGTTGTGTTTAGTTTGTTGTCCTTCTCCCCCGGCACGTACGGTGGTGCGAAAGAAGTTCAATGTACACACACGCAATCTGCTTTACACTACACACTACACTACTAAACAGCACACTATACACGATACTATACATTACACTACACAATACACTGCTACACTATACACTATTACACACTACACGACTATACACTACACTACTATACACTACACTATACACTACACAATACACTACACTATAACACTACACCACGCTACTACATTGAGAACTCAATTCTTTAGAACTGCTACTTGTTGTTGTGGTGTTTAGTTTGTTGTCCTTCCCCATGGGCACCTCCGACTGCGCGTGGTTTGGCTACGTATGGTGGTGCGAAATAAATCCAACGTACACACATACAAAGCACTATGCACTACACTACTATAGACTACACAACTATACAGTATGTAGTGACATCGCGGGATGTCACTGTGCAATGCCGGCCCGAGAGAGGCACGCCGTGCGGTGTCGCGACATCGCGGACACCACGAGGATGTGGGTGCAGTACCGGCCCTAGATGGGTTCGGTGAGCGCTGATCGATAGCGCTGGAAGGCATCACGCTTGGCGTGCAAAGCCAGCCCTAGAGGATCGGGTGTGAGTAGGCCTCGGCAAGGTAAGGTAAAAGTTAAAAGGTAAAAACAACGAGCCTACCTTTACCCTACCTTTTACCTTACCACAATACAATCACTCTACCCTACCTTTTACCCTTTAGCAGGTAAGGTAAAAGGTAAAAAGCAACGAGCTTACCTTTACCCTACCTTTTACCCTTACCCCATACACATTACCCGATTACAGGGTAATTACTGGGGAACTACTACACATGAACAAGGTTTATAGCGGTAAATGCTAGGTAGAGCGCTTCATGCATATATATAATACTCTCGATTATTCCAATTTTACACTCTTTCTTTTAACTCACTCTGTCGTTATTGTTGTTGTATCCTCAAA